TCACCTGCACACATCACACGTGCTGGGACTGTTTCCAGCTGAGGTCTGCTTCGCAGGTGTGGGGTCAGGCCTCGAGCATGTCATTTTGAGGACATGATCCAACCCCTCAACAGGAGCACCCTCACCTTCAGTGTCCTCTGTAACCCGGGGATGGACAGGCCGTCTCTGGCACAGGTGTGCCATGCGGGCCTGGCCAGCAGGTGCCTGAGCCCTTCAGCATGGGCAGAGACAGGCTAAGGCAGGAGGGGAAGGCGAGGAGGGGTGCCCGAGCAGACCAGGGGGCTCCTGGTAACCTGTGGGCTGTGCCCCTCTGCGCCTGGCCAGGCCACTTGGTGGAGGGTCGGCCAGCCTGGGGGCCAGAGAGGTTCCGCCAGCTGTGCAGTGCTGGAGCCCAGGCATCGGGGACAGAGCCCAGGCATCAGGGACAGAGCCTAGGAGGGGACAGAGCCCAAGCATTGGGGACAGAGCCCTTGCAGGGACAGAATTCAGGCAGGGACAGAGCCCAGGCATCGGGGACAGAGCCCAGGTGGGGACAGAGCCCAGGCGGGACAGAGCCCAGGCATCGGGAACAAAGCCTAGAAGGGGACAGAGCCCAGGCATTGGGGACAGAGCCCTCGCGGGGACAGAGCCCAGGCATTGGGACTGAATCCACGGCTGGGCCCACATCTATCTGCTGCGATGGACCTGCAACCTCTCGCTCTCTCTGACCTGGCGCAGGGCCCGGGGTCCCCACCCTGCCCTCTGCCCGAGGCTCCTGAGCAGGTGTTGGGAGACTCATCTGGCCAGCTCCCTGCTCGTGGCTGAGTGACAGCACCACAGTCCCAGAACTGCATTGTAAAGTGGGTTTTCTAAAAAGAAATAACAATCATTTCCTATGGGACAGGGTGCCAACATGCCCCTGTCTGCGTCCCATCCTCTACACTGGGCTGAGGGGTGCAGGGGCAGGCTCGGAGGGGAGAGAACGGGTTTCAGGGACAGCCGGACCCTGTGGCAAGGCTTCAGCAGGTGGGTGAGGCCTGGGTCCCAGAGGGAACCCTCCCGGGGGCGGGGGGCACAGCATGGCAGAGGCCCTCTGGCAAACCCAGGGTTCTGGGCAAGGCTCTGGGAGGCCAGCAAGGAGCTGCGGGCCAGACCTGGGGGTGTGGAGGGGGCATGGCGGGGCGGCCGGCCCATCTTCTCCCTGTGGCCTGGGAGGCTGTGGTCCCTGCCAGGCCCAGCTGCCAAGGAGGCCAGTTGGAACAGATCTCAGTGCACCAGCCATCTGGGGAAACTGAGGCAAGGGTTGGCGGGATCCCTGCCCCTTGGCACGCCTCCCAGACCCAGGGACGGGGAGCCAGGGTGGCTGGGTGCGACCTGGCGGGCAGGCGCTGATGGCCATGTGTGGCTAGATTACGCCCCGTCCAGTAATTCTCCGTGCTCTGCCAGTAATCGCCCTGACTTACCAGGCAGGCATCATTTCCTGAAAGTCAGCCGGCCTTAGGGGAAGTAGGCGCCGGCGGTGACTAAACCAACATGCAAATGCAGCAGGGCTGAGCGCGTCCGCACAGCGGCTGTGGTCATGAGGGAGCCGCTCCGGCGGCCTTCCAGGGGACCTGGCGGCAGCGCCATGTCCCAGCTGCGCTTCTGGCTGCCACTGGCAGCCCTCAGCAAGGTAACCCTCCCGCCGCCTGCCGGCTTGCTCGGGACCTGGGGCGGGAGTTGGGGGGGCGGGGCTGGGCGGGCGGTTCGGGCCACCTGCGGGGACGCCGCCAACGCGGCTGCTGGAGGCCCCTTCCCCTCCCCCGCTCACCCCACAGGAACCGTGTGCGCCAGAGGGACGGGGTACTTGGGCACTGGGGACAGCAGGGGGTGTGCCTTCAAAGCAAAAGTGCAGTGGGCGGGCGGGCAGGGCTGCCTGCTGCCGTGGCTGCAGAGTCCTCTCTGGGGTGGCCAGGGCTCCGTGGCCGGGAGCCTCCCCCACCTGGGGAGTCAGGCGGGCCTGGTGAACTGGGACAGCCCCCCAGAGTGGCTGTAAGAGCCGGGTGGGTGCGCTGTGAGACGGGTTAGGAGCGTGGCCTTGCCCCCTGGGGGGTGGCAGGCGTGTCTGGGGTGCCGCCCAAGCCAGGTCCTGGGGGGGGCTGTGGGGCACTGTTTGGGCAGCTCTGCCAGGTCCTGCCAGCACCTCACTCGGTCCAGGGTTCCCAAAAGGCTGAGAGGCAGGCAGCACAGCAGGTGACCCCGGTCCCCTGAATTCCCGGGCTGACCAGCGGGCACCCACCGCACTCCGGGGCTGTAGCAGCAGGAGAGGGTGGGGGCCTGGGAGGGCGCCTGTAGGTTTGGGTCACTGTGGGGGTCTGCTGGTGGCTGCTGGGAATCAGGTCCTCACCCACCAGGGAGGGGTCCTGCTTGTCCCCCTTTACCTGCCCTTCCCTCGTGGAGGGAGGGACCCCTGATGACCCGCGTTGAGCCCCTTCGCCACGGAGTGCCGGCCGCCCAGGGGGCGTCTGCGGGCAGGGAGAGAGGGCCTGCTTTTAGGTAAATATTTTAGACCTGCTTTTGACTCACTGAACTGCAGGGAGAGTAGGTCAGAGACCCCGTGTGTCCACGCCCATCCCCGGGCTGTGACGCCTGAGGCTCAGTGGCCGCTGCATCAGCACTGAAGCCGTCTAACCAGCAGAAGCCTGCACGTCACTCCGGACCCTTGGGGCAGTCGCGGTGTCCCTCGGGTGGGTGACCCAGGTGGCCGGGGGTCCTGCAGGACAGCCCATTGGGGTTTTCTGGGGCTCTTTTCACGGCCGCACTGGGGGGTGGGCCTGCTTGCCTGCCGCCTTTGGACCTCCCTGCAGGCTGCTGGCCCCAAGCCCCTGGCCTCGCTGCCCCTCAGGAAGGGGTCTCCGTACTGTCCACACAGAGTGTGGGATCCCCCAGCACCACCTTTGCTAGCAGGTCCCCCCTGCCCCACTGACTTGCTGGCCCTGGGGGCTCCTGTCACTGACCAGGTTTAGGCTGTGCCCACCGGGAAGGCCACACTCCGATGTGGTCCCAGAGGGATTTTCGCACACGTGGCTGCACCCACCCTGGTCACCGCACGGGGGTCTCTGCCCCATCGCTTCACAGGGTCAGGCAGCCAGCTTCTGCCGCCCAGCCTTCCCTGGCATCTTCCACCACACTCAGTCTGCGCCCCCTGAGCCTAGCTGCTGGGGATGGAGCAGGGTCCAGAGGAGGACCTGGTGCGTCAGCAGGGCTGGACCCCCCCACCTGCCACCTCAGTTTCCCCCACAGCTGCTCTGGGCTGTTGAGTCGCTTGGCTATCATGTGAGGGCCCCAAGGAGTGTGAGCTGCTGTCTCGGTCCCCGGGCTTCTATGAGCCTTCCCAGGCCACTGCCCGTGCCTGGGCTGGTCCTGCAGCCACTGTGCTGCCCTGGCAGGGGCAGGGAGAGGCCAGTTGGCTAGAGCTTCTGGCTGCCCAGTGCGCCCTCAGCCACCTCTGCCCTGCACGTGGGTGGCCGGGGCACCCTGGGGCGGGTGAAAGGTGTCAGTCAAGGCCCCCAGCCTCCACCAGCTGACTCCACCGAGCTGGCACCAGGACTGACCCCATCCACAATTGTGCAGCCAGGGGCTCCTGCGTTCAGCAGTCCCTGGGGAGGCCACTGGGTGGACAGCCTCCCTTCCCATAGGGCCCTGCCGTCCTTTGGGTGTGACAGCCTGAGCCTTCCTTATCTTGGGCCGTGCACCCCACTTCCAGGCTGTATGGTGTCGCCTTGGGGTCCCCAAGTAATAGGGGTCTGACACCCTGATGGACAAGGGGGCCCCAGAAACGTGGCCCTCATGGGGAACTTGGGCAGGCCTGGGCGCTTCTGAAACGGGCTTGGTGACTTGGGGGGCCAAAAAGGAGGCTGCCCGGCACCCCGAGGAGCCACCTCTGCTGTGGCCTTCAGGCCCAAGTTGGTGCATCGTGGTGGGCTCCCCCTAGGCGTCTCCTCCCCAGTGCCTTTGCATCTTGGGCCTGTCCTGAGACCCCCACCCCCGTCAGCCCTGCCCCACCCCCTCCCCTTCCCCTGGTCAGTAGGATACATCCCTGCACGCCAGCTGCCTGGCCCTGCCCTCGAGGCCTGCACAGGCGAGTCGGGTAAAAGGTACCCAGCGTCTGGGCCCCCTGGCAGCTCTCCCGGCTCACAGCGTGTCCTTGGCCAAGCCGCTGGCACCCCCTGCTTAGGACACACTCCCACTGACTGCCCTGAAAGGTGCCAGGATCAGATGTCAGCATGCCAGGCCCCCCACCCCACCCCGTGGGGTGGCTTAGGGCTGCTTCACGCCCCTGATCTGGGCCTGCACCCTCCCGGCTCCTGGGCCCCCAGGGTCCCTGTCCGCAGAAGAAGTGCCCCCCACACGCCAGGTGCTTGGCCGGGGAGGGCAGGTGGCACGGGAACCCGGTGCCGACACTGACCTCCTTTGAGCGCATGCTCGCAGGCTGTGACCTTGGCAGCAGAGGCGTGGGGCCCTGAGTCGTGACCCCTGCACTGGGGAGGGGCCGGGGAAAGCCCAGGGCGACTGCCACCTGCTTGTGGTGCCACCTGAGTGGGGTCTGCCTTCCCGTGCCCCTGCCTCCTTCCTGTGTCCTGTCAGGGCCGCGCTGTGTATGCAGTTCTCGTGCCGCACGCCTCAGCACTTAGCTGGCGTGGGTCAGTGTTCTCAGAGAGCTCCGCCTGCACCCAGCACCACCACCCAGTTCCAGGACGTTCCATTGCCCTGAAGCCGCCCGTCCCCATGAGCAGTCACCCCCGTCGCCTCCTCAGCCGTCACCCACGGGCCCACGTTCTGTCCATGGCTTTGCCTGCTGTGTGCGTGTCACAGAAACGGGGTCACACCGTGTGGCCCTCTGTGTGTGGCGTCTCACCGCGCCGTGCGGTCAGGGTCCGTCCCCGTGCAGTGTGGGTCGCTCTCGTATGGCCAGGGCCCACTGTGCGCACCTGTCCGGGCAGGGCGGGCGCCTGCTGCCCCTCACCCAGCCTGCCTTCCAGGATGCCCCGTACCTCGACGACCTGTCCAACGCCTCCCTCTTCTCCTCGTCCGTGGACTCCCTCTCGGACATTGTGGACACGCCTGACTTCCCGCACGCTGACAGCCTCAGCCAGGTGCCCACCATCTGGGACGTGAGCACCGGTCCCTCCACCCACGACAAGGTCAGCAAGCCCCGCGGCCTCCATGCCATGGCTGTCCCCGGGCCCCGACCCCAGCCGCTGACGAGGTCGTGGGCTGGGCTTCTCACCTCTCCTCTGGGGCCCAGGAAGTGCAGGGCCTGGGTGGGGGGCCCTTTGTGAGAAGTCTCTTTGTGGGAGCACCCTCCCCGCTGCTCCTGGTGGCTCCATCGCCACCATGTACTCGGCAGGCGCCTTCGCCAAGGAAGGAGCTGTAAGGGCTTCCGATACTGGTTCTCGTCTGGCGATCCCGCCCTCGGGACACTGGTGATGTCTGGAGACCTTTGTGGGGAGCCCCTGGCATCAAGGGGGCAGGGGCCCAGGATGTTGCTCATGCCCCACAGTGCCTAGGACACAGCCTCCCCCAGAGAATGACCCGGCCCCAAATGTCCACGGACCAAGGTGGGGACCCCGAACCAGGGAAACGTGGCTTGGGACAGAGACGCATGGCAGAGCCGGTCCCTGTGGAGAGGCAGCGTTTGGCTGAGGGCTGGAGTGGGGAGCAGCAGGTGTGAAGGCCCTGTGGGGGGACTGGCCTGAGGGGCTCCTGGGTCAGCACAGGGCTGTGTGCCCACCGACAGGGAGCCCAGGGCACGAGGCTGACAGACGGCATCGGGTCCCAGGGCTGGTCGGGGAGCTGACCCGTCTCTCAGTGCAGCAGGCGGCTCCCAGCCAGCTTCCTGCAGGGGCAGAGGGCATGGGTCATTCTGTGAAGCTCCTCCTGCGGGAGGTGGTGGGCTGGGGTTGAGGTGAGGCCAGCCTTGGGCATCCCAGGTAAGCAGGGTCTCAGGTGTGCCAGGCCCAGAAGCGAGCATGTTCCTAGGACTGGGCAGTGGGACATTGTGCATGGGAGGCAGTGCCTGGCACCCCATCCGGGCCTTTCTGCCGGGAGAGAAGCTCCTAGCCTTTGGGATCCAGAATGCTACTCAAGGCTGTGAGAGACCAGAGGTGGAGACATGGCTGGGGGCCCAGGGCGCCAGGGGACAGCCCCCTCTGTCCGCCAGCCGGGGAGTCCTGCAGGCAGCGCACGCCTGCCCAGCTGCCTCGGCTCCACAGCGCCCTTGCCTGCGCCCAGCCAGCGATCCTGGCCACCGGTGCCCCACTCCTCATTGGGGCCTGTGGGCCGGGTGCCCGTGTGGGACAGTGAGAAGGCAGCCGGATTCCAAGTCCGCACCCTGCTGCCCACCTGCCCGCCAGGAACCCTTACTCAGCCTTCCAGGAACCTGGGTCCGTGGCTGGTTGGTTGTTTTTGTTAATTCGGAAGAAAAAAGGGAGTGGAAATTGAGTATAGGTTTCTGACCTCCCTGTACATCACTTTCCATTTTATTTTCTTTTTAAAAACCTTTGGCCGTGTTCTCAGCCTTTGGAAACAGCAGAAGTCGTGAAAAGAGTCTTGTTTCCACAGACCGAGTCCCCAGGGGCCTCTTGTTGCCCTGAGGCCAGAATGGCGCACTCGCTCAGGAGGGATGCCGGCCCTGGGGTCTGGGAGTCCGTGTGGGGACAGGGTCTGGGAGGGGTCTCTCTGTCATCTTCCATGCCTGTGACTTTTAGAATGTTCCTGTCACAAACTTTACTTTTCCAAGAGCGTGTGCTGGAGTTGCACACCTGGCTGGGACCCTGCCCCGTCCTCGCCGGGTGCCCGGGGGCAGAGCGGTCACCAGAGCCAGGCTGTGTGGACACTCCCTGGGGTGGGCAGGGGGAGGACCGGGTCCTGTGCTGGCCTGACCTTGGGCTCTGGAGCTCCACCTGCCGCAGCTCAGCCCCCCTGGGTGAGACTCCTGGGTGGCCGACCTCTCCAGGGGGGGCCGTGTCCCTGCCCACATAGTCCTGTACAAGCCGGGGCTCTGGCCGATTCACCCCAGAGGAGCCGCCTCCCTGGGGGCTGAACTGGACCCCAGGAACTGAATGAAGCCATTCAGGGGGAGACTGGTGTGCCCACCACACCAGTCCAGGTCCCAGCGGTGGGCGGCTGGGTCTGCGGGGTGCCAGCCCCCACCTGTCTAGCCTAGGACAGTCCTGCTGGCTCTCGACCCACCTCAGGCGGGTGGGGCCCTACACACAGTGGGTCTCTGCCAACAGTCCCTACAGAGGCCTGCCCTTGGCCTAGACCTTGAAGGGCAGGGGGCTGCTGTTCAGCAGAACGAGCCGGGCAGGCAGCGGGAGGGCAGTGGGGAGAGCCCCGCGGCTGGCCAGGGCCCCTGGGGGCACTCTCTCCCTGTCTCTGGCCTGCGGGCTCACGTTCACCCTTCCCGCCCCCACCCCTCCAGCTCTTCCTGCCCAGTGGCCCATTTCCAGTTCTTGAGGATCCTGCGACCTCGCTCTCCAGCACCCCTCTTCTCGTCAGCTACCAGGTGAGCCGGGTGCTGCCCCAGCAGTGGGTGCCTGCTCTTCCTGGGGAGGAGAGGGCCACTCGCGCTCAGGCACCTGCCTACAGGTGGGGAACCCGAGGCCCCAAAGGTGCCACATGGGCGGGGGGCGGGGGGGCAACTCTCCCCTCCTCCGAGTCACTGCGCAGGCAGGTGCACCAGGCCCCTGCCCCGGGGAGGCTGGGCGGGCTGGGCGGGCAGGACTGTGCCCTGATGGTGCGCTGCCACCAGGCTCAGAGTCAGCCGGAGGAGGAGGACGAGGCGGAGGAGGACGAGGCGGAGGAGCTGGGCCACGCAGAGACCTACGCGGACTACGTGCCATCCAAGTGTGAGTGTGGCGCTGCTCCGCCCCCCAGGGGAGCCCCTGCTGGCGCCCCCCGGCCTGTGTGGCCGTCCCCTACTGCTTTAGGAGCAGAGCTGTCCAGTCACACGCCCTTCCCAAGAAGCCCAAGGCGGTGCTGACCCCCCAACCCAACTCCCACACCCTCCTGGGAGCGCCCCCCTGTGCACCCTGCCCGCCTGCAGCCCACCAAGAACCCCCCAGCCATGCCCTGACCCGTCCTGGTCACGCCCCTGCAGCCAAGGTCGGCAAGCAGCACCCAGACCGCGTGGTGGAGACCAGCACGCTGTCCAGCGTCCCGCCGCCGGACATCACCTACAGCCTCGCCCTGCCCACCGCGGACAGCGACGCCCTGTCGGCCCTGCAGCTGGAGGCCATCACCTACGCCTGCCAGGTAGCCCAGGCCTCCCACCGGGGCTGCACAGCGTGGGGGACCCGCCAGGCCCTGACTGCGTCCCCTGGCCCCACAGCGGCACGAGGTCCTGCTCCCCAGCGGGCAGCGGGCTGGCTTCCTCATCGGCGACGGCGCAGGCGTGGGCAAGGGTCGCACCGTGGCGGGCATCATCCTGGAGAACTGCCTGCGGGGCCGGAAGAAGTCCCTGTGGTGAGCCCCCAGCCCCACGCGGGGGGTGGAGGCCGGTGGACTGCGGCCAGCAGGGAGGGGTCCGCGACTCCCACACCTGTGCCTCCAGGTTCAGCGTCTCCAATGACCTCAAGTACGACGCGGAGCGAGACCTGCGGGACATCGACGCCCAGAGCGTCGCTGTGCACGCCCTGAGCAAGGTGGGTGGGGGTGCCACCCCGGGGGAGGGTCTGGGGCCCCGCAGGCTGCGCCCCCACGTCGCCCCTCTTCTCCCCCAGATCAAGTATGGCGACAACACTGCCTCAGAGGGCGTGCTCTTCGCCACCTACTCTGCCCTGATCGGGGAGAGCCAGGCGGGCGGGCAGCACCGCACACGGATCCGGCAGATCCTGGAGTGGTGCGGGGAGGCCTTTGATGGCGTGGTATCCTGGCTGCGGGCTGAGCAGGGAAGGCAGAGGAGGGGCGGGGGGCGGGAGCAGCCGAGAAGGACCTCCAGGCGGGGGATGGACGGGTCAGGAGGCTGCAGGTGGTGGCGACTGTTGCCTGTCCTCCTTGGTGGAGCTGTCTTGGTACAGGCTGGGATGGGGTGGCCGTGACACGGTGGGGAGCGGGGTGGGGTGGGTGGATGGCCAGGGCAGGGAGGGCTCGGCTGGCGGGCGTTTGGGGGGCCCGGCACATCCTCTCTGCCCACCTGCTGGTGCGCCCAAGGTACGGGCAGGGAGGCGCCTGGGAAAAAGCCTCAGGACTGCAGAAATTTCTCTTTGCCTCCTCTCTGAAAATGTAAATAACTTTGTCTTCTGATGCTACCAAGCTGCAGAGAAGCCGAGTCCAGGAAAGTGCGAGGCACAGTAGGCCTTGCTCACTAACACACTTAAAGCAAGAGCGGGGCCTTCCTGGGCTGGCACGCCAGCTGGCACCGGTTTTGGGGTCACCGGCTTCAGGGGTGTCTGCCCTGGTGCATCTAGAGGGCTCTGGGCTGCAGGTGTCACGGGAACCCGCCCTTGGTGCACACAGCCGCCTCCCCGGTCGGTGCTGGGGCACCCCAGTGGGACTAGCAAGCCCCCCCCAGCACCCCGCCCTGCCCAGGGCCTCCACGCTGCCAGCTCCCTGTCTCCGGGGCATTCTGGTCGCTCCAAGCCCCTGTATTGGAGGGTGCCGTCTCCCCTTTATCGCCGTCTCCAACACTGTTCTCACAAGGGCCCACACCCAGCCCTCTCCGGGAGCCTCCTGCCTCTGGTCTCAGTCACAGGTAAGAGGCACCTGGGCTGCGTGTGCTTTCAGTTCACCTGGGCTGCGTGTGCTTTCAGTTCACCTGGGCGAGTTTACGGGGCCGCTGTTCAGTCAGCCACTGGCTTCCGTGCAGGTCAGCACCCATTTGCCATGAGGAGAAACCCACGGCCACTGGGGGCACCACACAACCTGAGGCAGATGACAGCATATTTTTAAAAAGCATTAACATCCTATCCCGAGGGACTGGGTGCCGAGCACCAGACCCGGTTTCTGCAGGCCTTTTTTGTGTACGCATCGCGAGTCTGTGTGCACACGTAGGCACCAATCTGTTCCATTTTTAAGGAGTTTCCTGAGAAGCGTGTCTGCCTTTGAGTTGCTTTTGTCCCCTTAAAATACTAACTTTCTGCACCTTCTCCTTTATTTCTTCGGTATTGCTTGTACAACGGGGTCATCCCAGACTTAAACACACCTGTGAGAAGAATCACAGGGGAGGCCCAGGACCTCCACCCGGCTCCCTGAGGGGACCGGTCACAGCCCACCCTGCTTACCGGGGGGCCCCTCTCCCTCCTCACGGGCGTGCGTGTCTGTGTCAGCACCGTGTTGAAGGGTCTCGCTGCACACTACATACCGTCAGCAGGTGCAGGGGCCCTAGAGGCAGTTTCCACCTGCCCTGGTAGCCTCAAACACTCTGCGGCCAGATACCCCCACCCCAGGTGCCTCGTCAAGTTCCCCTCACCAGGAAGGGGGTCCCTGGGTCATGGGACGAGCTGGGGACCCACTTTCCAGAACAGTCCTTAACCCCACCACACCAGATTGTGTTCGACGAGTGCCACAAAGCCAAGAACGCCAGCTCCACCAAGATGGGCAGGGCCGTACTGGACCTGCAGAACAAGCTGCCCCTGGCCAGGGTGGTATATGCCAGCGCCACTGGTGAGGGCCTTGGGGGCTGCGGGCGTGGGGTGCCTGACCTGACCGCATGCGCCCCGTCGGCGACATCTGCCCTGCCACAGCCGTGGGGCCTCCCGCACGCCACCAGTGCCTTGCCCGTTTGCCCCTGCTGCTTCTTGGGCCGCGGGTACCTGGCAGCCTGGCCCAGATGCAGGGGGCCTTGCCTCTGCCAAACGGCTTTAGCCCCTCAGCGCCCTGGCTGTGAGGGCTTCCCTGAGAGCCTCAGGCCTGGGACCTGCCTGAGACCGTTTCTGGGGCCGTGTCCAGCAGCTTCCATGTCTGGGTTGGGGGAGCTGACAGCAATTCCCCAACCGCCAGGTGCCTCCGAGCCCCGGAACATGATCTACATGAGCCGCCTGGGCATCTGGGGCGAGGGCACACCCTTCCGCACCTTCGAGGAGTTCTTGCACGCCATTGAGAAGAGGTGAGCATCCTTCCCTGCCCATGATGCAGGCGTGTGGGGTGCCCCTGCTCCCCACCCCGCCCTCCTGCACCACAGGGATCCTAAAAGACTACCCCATCCTCTCCCTGCTTTCCTGAAATGCTCAGCACACCCTCGGCCCAGGCAGATAAGAGCTCGGGGCCTTTGCATCGCTCTCTCCTCACCCTGCACCTGGCCAGGGCTCAGGTCTGGGTGTCAGCCCCCGACACCCATAAGCCGTTGCTCAGGGGACCCCAGCAGTGCTCAGACGGCCTTGTCTCCACTGCAGGGGTGTGGGTGCCATGGAGATCGTGGCCATGGACATGAAGGTCAGCGGCATGTACATTGCACGCCAGCTCAGCTTCTCTGGGGTCACCTTCCGCATTGAGGAGATTCCGCTGGCCCCTGCCTTCGAGTGCGTCTACAACCACGCAGCCCTGCTGGTGAGTGGGTGACCAGGGGTCTCTGACAGTGGGCACACTGCGTTTCCCATCGGTCACGCCCCTGCCACCTCCAGTGCCTGTCCTGAGGATGCCACAGGGCGTGTCGGGTTAAAGGAAGCACGAAGCTGCTGGCCCCGCTGCTGGGGTCCTGGGCTGGAGCCCAGCGTCTCAGTCCATCTCTGCAGCGACAGAAACAGGACTGGGCCCGCCTCCCCGCCCACAGCCTCACCAGCACTATGCCCCCAGGTCACGCGTGACCCGGAGCGTGGGGTCACTTGTAGAGCCCATATCTCTGCCCCACGGCTCGGCCCTCGTCATCTTCGCTGTCTGTCCACGTGTGGACGAGTCTTCTCTGTCAGACCCACCCACTTGGGGCAAGCCCCAGCCCTACCCATGGGGTGGGTGGTCTCCTTAGCTCAGACCAGGTGGGGTCTCCCCATTGCTGACTTGGGGCCCTGCTGCACACCATGAGGTCAAGCAGCGTCCCCGGCCCCACCCCCTCACGCCGGGGGCTCCCCCATTGCGACAACCACAGATGTCCCTAGACACCACCGAGTATCTGTGGGGCAGCACCTCCCCTGGGGAGGCCCCTGGTCTAAAGCATCAAGAGTCAGGTGCCTGCGGGTGCGAGGCCGTCCCCACGGGCGGGTGTCCCTCTGGACCACGGCCTTGCCAGCACCACCGCCTTCTGTTTTTTAAGTGTTTCCGGGACCCAGGCACAGGCTAGGACCCCCTCACCCCCAGATCCCAGCAGGGTGGGGGCTGGCAGGCCCGGGGCGCAGGCAGCCGTGAGCTCAGCCCGTTGTGTCATTGCAGTGGGCCGAGGCCCTGGGCGTGTTCCGGCAGGCAGCTGACTGGATCGGCCTGGAGTCGCGGAAGGCCCTGTGGGGCCAGTTCTGGTCGGCACACCAGCGCTTCTTCAAGTACCTGTGTGTGGCCGCCAAGGTGCACCGGCTGGTGGAGCTGGCCCGGGAGGAGCTGGCCCGCGACAAGGTGAGCTGGTGGCGGAGTCGGCAGCCGGGCCAGTGGGGCCGGTGGGGCCCGGGGCCTGCTAGGTGCACTGGGCCCCCTGCATCCTGTGACTGCTCGAGGGCACGTGGCCGGCCGGTGCAGAGGACAGGGTGTGGGAGCAGTCGCGCTGAGGCCTGGTCTGAGTCCCCAGCAGGCGCAGGCCCCCGTGGCCGGGCTGGCACGTCCCCAGAAGGAACAGGACGGGGGCCTGGGCAGAGGAGAGCCGGCGGTTACGGCAGGCCCGAGGCGCTGCTGGCCGCAGGGTGTGTTGCGGGTGGCCATGGCCACACTGGGGGCTTGGAGAAACGGGCCGACGCCTGGCTGCTGGGGTGGTACTCCGGGCCCTGGGCCTCGCCGTGGGCCCCTCTGGAGCCCCAGGATTCCTGCCTTGGCTCACCCCCTGTCCCCGCAGTGCGTGGTCATCGGACTGCAGTCCACGGGTGAGGCGCGCACCCGGGAGGTGCTGGACGAGAAGGAAGGGCAGCTCGACTGCTTCGTCTCGGCCGCAGAGTGAGTGGCGCCCTGGCCAGGGGAGGGTGGACACGCACGTCTGCCAGGAGCCGGCAGCCGCCCTCAGACTCCTCAGGCCCAGGTCCAGCCTTAAAGCCAGGAAGACTGAGCCTGTTACCCCCGGGCTCCGAGGGTGCTGGCCCAGGGTCCTGGGACTTACAGCAAGGCTTCCGGGCCCCTGCTCCCAATGTGGTTACCACGCCGTCTCAAGGACCGTATGGACTTTAGGGACTGGCCTTCCAGCTCCCCAAAGCGCCCGGCCTCTTGCCAGGGTGGGGGCAGGGCACCCCAGCCCAAGCGAGGGCCCCCCCCATGCGGCCCAGCACCTTCTCTAGGAAGCCACCCCAACTCTCCCACCTGTATCCTGCAGAGGTGGTCAGCCCAAGCCACAGATCCACAGGCCCAGGGGTGGCGGGAGCCCCATGCAGTGTCCCCACCCCATGCCCTGTCCATCGCAGCAAAACCGCCCCCCCTTTGCAGGTCAGGACCCTGCCCCCGTGTCCTCACAGCTCCCACCCCGCTCTGAGCACCTGCAGCGAGACCCCTGACTCAGGCCTGCCCTCAGGACCCCCGTGTTGGACATCTTCCCCAGAGCAAAGCCATGCACAGGGCCGGCTCTATGGCAGGCCTCCCGGCCAGACGGCATGGGCCGCCTGATAGTGAGAGGGGACTCTGTTGTTGCTTTCAGGGGCGTCTTTCTGTCACTAATTCAGAAGCACTTTCCTTCAGCCAAGAGGAAGCGGGAGAGAGGTGCAGGCAGTAAGAGGAAACGTGAGTGCCTGCCCACCTCTGGCCTGTGGCTTGTGGCCCTCCTGGGCCTCCCTCCTGTCCTTGCTGGTCACCACTGAGCTGTGCCCTCTGCTGCTCCTGCTGGGCCACATGGAACATCCCTAAGGAGGCCTGACCCCTGACCCCTGCACTTCCAGAGCAGCCCTAGAGGCCCGGGCACCCCTTTCCCTCATCCCAGGCTCCCCCACAGAAGGGACCCAGGGAGGTTAGAAGACACCAGGGCCCACCCAGCTCCCCCAGGTCACACAGCCAGGTCGGAGGTCGAGAGCCCAGGGGTCCAGTGCCACTGCCCCCATGTCTAGGACCAGCCTTCAGGGCGTCCCGGTCAGCGGCAGTGTCCCCAGGCCCCTGGGTTGGCCCTTCCAGCAGGACGGTCTTGTGAGACTCTATGTGCAGCCTTCCCAGGGGCACCAGAGCCACCCCCAAGTCGGTGCTCCCTCACGCCTTGTGCCCCTGCCAACCGCAGCACCCAGACCAGCCAAAACCCAGGCACGACATCCCGGCACACGGGCCTGGCCCCAGACTGCCCCACTCCCTGCTTCTGCGTTGCCATGAGCCGGGGCCGCGGGACGGAGGAGCAGGGCTGTACCGCTGTGACGCCTGGCTCCCCCTGTGCAGGGCGGCCGCGGGGCCGAGGGGCCAAGGCAGCCAGGCTGATGTGTGAGGCGGTGGGCGTGATCCGCATCAGCGACGACAGCAGCACCGAGTCAGACGCCGGCCTGGACAGCGACTTCCACTCCTCCCCCGAGTCCCTGGATGACGACGTGGTCATCGTGGATGCCGTGGGGCTCCCCACTGATGACCGTGGTGAGGCCCGTGGCCCGGCATTTCTCTGCTCTACAGCTGGGGCAGGTAGGCTGCCTGGGAGGGGAGGTTGGGGCCGCACGGCCAGGAAGAGCCTGTTCACACAGCCGTCTGGGGTGGAGGAGAGTGAGCCCGGCCTCAGCACCCCCAGACCTTCCGGTCCTGGAGGGCCCGGGGCTGGGGGCCACCGCGCGTGGGGCTGTGGCAGGTGGCCCGGACAGTCTCCCCTGACCTTCCGGCCCTGCAGGCCCCCTTGGCCCCCCGCAGCGGGACCTGAACGGCCCCGGCGTCCTGGAACGCGTTGAGCGGCTGAAGCAGGACCTGCTGACCAAGGTGCGGCTGCTGGGCCGGGAGCTGCCTGTCAACACCCTGGATGAGCTCATCGACCAGCTCGGGGGCCCTGAGTGCGTGGCTGAGGTGAGCGCCAAGGGGCAGCAGACGTGCGCCCGCCGCCCCCCTGCGCCACCCCCAGCCCTGCCCAGCACAGCAACGGGGAGGCTGGCTTGCTGGTGGGTCCTCCTCCCTTAGCCGCCGCCCTCTGGCCCAGCTGCGTGCCCACCTGGCCCGCATACTCTGTGTGCCCTGGGGACCCGGGCACGTGCCCATCCCCCTCCCACCCTCACACCTATTTCCTGGGTGCCCGTTGGGTGCCTGCTGAGCTCCTGCGTTGGCCCCGAGCAATGGTTCACAGTAAGGGACTTGGGAGCTCTGAGTATCTCTGCTGCTTGCCCTGCAGGCAGCCCTGGCCCTGCCACACCCAGGAGCCCTGGGGGCACATGGGGAAACGGGGATGCCCTCTGAGCGGCCATGCTGGCTACCAGCCTGTCCCCTTGACCTGCACAGATGACCGGCAGGAAGGGCCGCGTGGTATCCAGGCCTGACGGGACAGTGGCCTTTGAATCTCGGGCGGAGCAGGGCCTCTCCATCGACCACGTGAACCTCAGGGNCAGGTAGTGGGGCCTGAGGGGGTGGGGGCCATGGGGCAGGCATGGTGTATGGAAAGTGGGGTGCAGGTAGTGGGGCCTGAGGGGGTGGGGGCCATGGGGCAGGCATGGTGTATGGGGAGAAGTGGGGGCCATGGGGCTGAATGCAGAGGTGGGGGACCCCTGGCCAGGCAGGGAGGTAAGGAGAAGGGATTCGTGGGTGGCTGTGTCTCCAGTAGCCGGTAGCCCCCATGTGCAGGTGCACACAGGCGGGGGAAGAGGAGTGTGCCAGCCCTGGTGCCAGGGTAGGTGCAGGGGTCCTCAGCAGTCACCTCAGCCCCTCGCGGTGTCTGTGGGTTGTGTGCACACCTGTCCGTGGGTACCCGTGTGTGCAGGTGTGTGAATACCATGTGAGTGTGTGGGTGCGCTCCCGCTCGAGCGGCCCCACCTTCTGCCAGCACCTGCCAGCCCACCTGGGACCTTAGAGCCGTAAGGGCTGAACTCACTGCGGGTCACCAGAATCACACCGGGCGACCAGAGCAGGGCCGGGTTCAGGGGAGTGAGGAGGAGCAGGCGGCGACCAGCCTGCCGACCGACCTCCATCCGGGCCCCCCCAGCTCGTGGCCGTCATTTCCGAGGCCTCTAGCTCCGGTGTCTCCCTCCAAGCCGACCGGAGGGTCCGGAACCAGCGGCGGCGTGTCCACATGACTCTGGAGCTGCCCTGGAGCGCGGACCGTGCCATCCAGCAGTTCGGTGAGCCCCGGCCCGGAGGTGCAGGGGTAGGGGGGGACAGGCCCAGCCTCGGCCCACCCCCAACCGGCCCTGCCACAGTCCCCGGCCCCGGCTGTGTCCCTGAGTGCCGCTTCTGTCTCCAGGCCGGACCCACCGGTCCAACCAGGTCTCGGCGCCCGAGTACGTCTTCCTCATTTCAGAGCTGGCTGGTGAGCGCAGGTTCGCCTCCATTGTCGCCAAGCGGCTGGAAAGCCTGGTGAGTGGGCGAGCAGGGGGGCTGCCCAGGGAGGCTCCTGGGAGAGGAATGGGGGGTGGAACCCCAGGAGGCGCGCAGTGTGTGACGGGTCTCCGTCCTGGGCAGGGAGCTCTGACCCACGGGGACCGCCGTGCCACCGAGTCCCGCGACCTGAGCAAGTACAACTTTGAGAACAAGGTAGAGGGCGGGGTCCTGGGATGGGAGAGGAGGGGTCCCCAAGGCAGAGCCCTCCCCTCCTGAACCCCACTCCCCTCCACGCAGTATGGCGCCCGGGCCCTCGGATGCATCCTCACCACCATCCTGAGCCAGACAGAGAACAAGGTGCCCCTGCCGAGGGGCTACCCTGGGGGGGACTCTGCCTTCTTCCGGGGTGAGCTGAGGGCACGGGGCTGGGAGGGTTCTTCCAGGGGGTGGCAGGGCAGCTGGGCCCTGAGCAGTTTGGGGTGCTGGGATCGGTAACTGGATTTGTGTCCAAATATCCCTCCCCCACACACCAAGGGGACACTGGTGGCAAGGGGGATGCCCCAGGGGCTTGGGTGAGGGGCCGCGGGTGGAGGATCGTGAGCAAGGCCCTCCCTCCCCGCAGACATGAAGCAGGGCCTGCTGTCTGTTGGCATCGGAGGGCGCGAGTCCAGGTCCGGCTGCCTGGACGTGGAGAAGGGTGAGTCCCCCAGCGCCTCCCAGGTGCGGCCCCCGGGGTGGGCAGGGCTCCCAGCACAGCCTGAGGCCCCCTCTCCCTGCCCGCTCTCCCCCAGACTGCTCCATCACTAAGTTCCTGAACCGCATCCTGGGGCTGGAGGTGCACAAGCAGAACGCGCTGTTCCAGTACTTCTCGGACACCTTTGACCACCTCATCGAGGCAGACAAGAAGGAGGGCAAATACGACATGGGCATCCTGGGTGAGCATGCTGTGTCTGTGTGGCAGATGGGGAGACTAAGGCCTGTGCCGGGGCAAGCCACACCCCCACCAGGACAGGGGGCCTGGGAGTGGCCGGACTGGGGTGGCCGGGGTCTTGGCCAGGCACAGCGGGCCGCCCGAGTGCTCCCTGTGGGGTGCCGTGGGTCTCCCTCTCGGGTGTCCCCAGAGAACCAGAAGTTTCATTTAGGCGTAAAGCCCTCAGCAGGGTGCTTGGTGCAGGGGAAGGAAGCCCACACCCGAGGCCCTCACCGAGGGGTGGCAGTCCCTCCTGAAAAGGGGCCAGTCAGTGTTTCTCTCTTGGGGGGCTGGGCGGTCTCTGACTTCAACACAGCCGTGGCAGTGAAAGCACGGATGGGCCTAGGCAGCGTTCCAGGGAAACTTCATTCATCAAACCAGCGCTCGGTATAGTTTCTGAGCCCCTATTGAATCATCCCCACAGCAGCTGTGCCAGGCGGGGGCACATTGTCTGTTGTCAGGCTTGGCGTGAGGGCCCAGCAGGTGGGGGACATGGACCCCAGGCCGCCAGACTGCAACGGGTGCTGGGCAGGCAGATGGTTTCTGCTGGGGAACCCTGTGCCACGCTGCCCCACGGGCTCCTCAGTTGCACCTGGGAACTTGGGAGCCCAGCACCTGGAGCCGCTGAGCCACATGTGGGCCTCTGGGTGTGCCAAGACCCGGTGAGGAGGAGCCGCACGGCCTCCAGGCCGGACCCAGCTCACCGCCGTGTGCCCTCCCCTGCAGACCTGGCTCCGGGCATAGATGAGATCTATGAGGAGAGCCAGCAGGTGTTCCTGGCCCCCGGGCACCCGCAGGACGGGCAGGTGGTTTTCTACAAGGTGAGCAGGAGCCAGCCCGGCTCACGCCCGCACCCCTGCTGCCCATCTGCCCCGGCCCTAACCTGTGCGTGCCCTGGCAGATAAGCGTGGACCGCGGCCTCAAGTGGGACGAGGCGTACGCCAGGTCTCTGGAGCTGACAGGCGCCCACGATGGCTTCTACCTGTCCTACAAGGTGGGCGGCCCCGGGGCGGCGGGGCCGGGCGGGGGGCGGGGGCGGCGGGGCCGGCGGGGCCGGGGAGGGGGGGTGGCGGCCGCCGGCCTCACACGCAGCCCTGCCCAGGTCCGCGGCAACAAGCCGAGCTGCCTACTGGCGGAGCGGAACCGCGGCAAGCACTTCACCGTGTACAAGCCCAACGTGGGCCGCCAGAGCCAGCCGGAGACCTTCGACAGCCTGTGCCGCAAGTTCCACCGGGTAGGAGCGGCCGCGCCGGGGCCGGCCCCTGGAGGCGGGGCGGAGCGCGGCGCCCGGCTCACCTGGCGCCGGGGGCAGGGCGAGCAGCCTGGGGCGCGCCGGGCCCACCGCCCGGGCGGCTCACGCGGCCACGTGTCCCCAGGTGACGGCGGAGGAGGCCCGCGAGCCCTGGGAGCGCAGCTACGCCCTCTCCCTGACACACTGCAGCCACACGGCGTGGTGAGGCCGCGGGCGGGGCGCGGGCGGGCACCCGGAGGGCCGGCGGAGGCGGCGCGCGGGGCGCGCGGGGCGGCCTGGCTGAGCGGCGCGTCCCCCGCGCAGGAACCGGCACTGCCGCCTGATGCAGGAGGGCAAGGACTGCGTGCAGGGCCTGCGGCTGCGGCACCACTACATGCTGTGCGGGGCCCTGCTGCGCGTGTGGGGCCGCATCGCCGCCGTCATGGCCGACGTCACCAGCAGCAGCTACCTGCAGATCGTGCGCCTCAAGACGAAGGACAAGAAGAAGCAAGTCGGTGAGCGCGCGCGGGTGCCCGCGGGGCGCGGCGGCGGGCGGCGGGCCTGCGCCCCAGACCCCGAACCGACCCGACGCCGGCTCCGCGCCCCCTCCCGGGCAGGCATCAAGATCCCCGAGGGCTGCGTGCGCCGGGTGCTGCAGGAGCTGCAGCTCATGGACGCGGACGTCAAGCGCAAGAACGCGCGCAGCCGGGCCTTCGCCGCGCCGCTGCCCGCCCTGCCCGCCCTGTGCCCGCTCGCTCTGCCCTGCGGCCCCGGCGAGGTCCTGGACCTCACCTACAGCCCGCCCGCCCAGGCCTTCCCGCCGCCCTCGCCGTTCGCGTTCCCGCCGCCGCCGCCGCCGCCCTGCGACCCCGCCCCCGTCCCGAGCGGCCTGCTGCTGGGCGCCGCGGACCGCCCCGCCGACCCCGCGGCCTCGGTGCATCAGGGCTGCGACATCAACTTCAAGGAGGTGCTGGAGGACATGCTGCGCTCCCTCAATGCCGTGCCGTCTGCGGAGCCCCCCGGCCCCCCGGGCATCGGCGCGGGGGCGGGGGCGGGGGGCGGGGCGGGCCCGGAGCGCCAGAGCGTCATCCAGTTCAGCCCCCCGTTCCCCAGCTCCTAGGCCGGGCTCCGCCCCTAGACAAACCTTATTTATCTGCAATACCGCGGCACGAACAGGCCCTCCTGCCGAAGCAGGCGGTGAGCAGGGCCCAGGTCCCTGCCGACTACTGAGGACTGGCAGGGCGACCCGCTGCCCGCCTCCCGAGGCCTCCACTGCAGTGCCTTCCCGGCGTGCCTGGGCAGACCCCTCAGATGCTGCCGGCCCCCCGACACCCAGCCTGGTGGGGCGGCCGCTGTTTGCAGGTCCCACTCAGGGCGTCTCAGGGCCCAGTTAGGGCCCGGGGGTGAGGGGCCCACCCTCTCTGTGCCTCTCCTCTGCGTCCCTCCAGGCCTGGGTGGGGGACCACACCCCACCCACCTTACAAGACCTGGTCAGGCCAGAGCCCCTGAAATCCACAAAACTGGGTGGCCCCAAGAGCTGAAAACTCAGGAAACCCCGGGTGCTCAGGGCCCCGCCAGTGTCCAGGGGTGTGGGGGGGCTCTGTGGGGCAGACCCCCCCATTAATATATGCAATTCCCCTTCCCTGCTCTCTGCTCCCTAAATTATTGTCCTGCCGCCCCCACCCCCCAGGCCCCAGAATCTGCCTGCAGAGCTGGTGGCCCCGGTGGCCCCTGGTCTGTATTTATGAAGAATTGACATGTATATATGTAAAGAGATCTTTTTTAAATATATGTGCCTTTTTACTACTTCCCCAGTTGTCTGCCACTCCAGTCCAAGTGAATTTGGCAGTGGTGCTTGTGTGTGTACCTTCCAGGAGGGGCACTTAGTGGGTAATGAGGTCAGGGGGTGGATGCTGCCTGCAGAGGGCAGCTGGTTGCAGTCCCTGTCTGCCCAGCCTGGCCACACCTTGCTTTTGGTCCCAAGGGCTCATGGTACTTGTTGTCCCCTGCCATGTGGATGACAGGCCAGACACCCTTCCTGCAGGCCATTGTCCACTGGGTGGTCTCAGCACTGGCATAGCAGGCCCTCAGTCCCTGGATGGGCCAGGCCAGGCTTGGCATATGGGGTCAGACAGTGGCTGCCTCCCGCCAGCTTAGGCGCACCCTGCCTGGGACCTCGTCCTGGCGCAAGATCCCTGGCTGTACAGGTTGCCTCTGCCTGGCTTCCTCGGGTGTTGGACCCACCAGGGAGGGCAGCCCAGGGATGGGAGGACCCAAGAGGTGATCCCAGGTAGAGGGCAGACGGGGATGCCAGATGCTTCCTAGAAGTCGGGGGTTGGGGGGACATATCTGGCCCTAGTCCAGCAGGAGGCAAGACTAGGGGGCAGGAGACAAGGCCTCTGGGAGCAGCAAGCTCCCAGACCAGTTGCTGCAGCCCTTCCAGCACCTCCCTCTGCAGGCTCCCCACCCCCCTTTCCTGGGCTACTGGAGGGTCAGAGACAGCCACTGTCCCGCTGAGCCACTCCCTGTCCCCTGGTTCCCTTGAGCTACAGGCAGGCAGGGCACGTGCCTCCCCAACCCCTGGGAACATGGACTGGAGCCAGTCTCCAGGGACCTCTTGGCCTCAGGCCATTTCCCACTGTTAGGTTGTGTGTGGGGGGTGACTTATAAACACCACCTCTGATTCTATCAGTTACAACTGTGTAGACAGGCCTGGGGCCCTGGGGCTCAGTGTCCACACCATCAGGCCAGTCTGTAAAACCAGCCCCGCCCAACGTGGCTCTGTGCCCAGACAATTTGGCCCAATGCTCAGCCTCAGGTCCTCTTGGGCTCCCACCTCAGGACACCGGTCAAGACCCCGCCCCAAGTCCCCAAGAAGCTGCCTCCGAACAGGCCAGCACCCTGGCTGGTAGCTGGTAGCAGCCAGTTAGGGCAGTGCTTCCCTCTGGGATGAACCCTGCCTGTGCTCAGTGGGGCTGCTGAGATCAGAGCCGGGGACTACAGGTGGGTGCAGCCCTCTGAGCCAGGGCCTCACAACACCTGTCCCTGAACTGCACCCCCCACCCGACCCAGGGAGGCAGGAGCACCCCGGAGGCCAATTTTTATATTTTATTCCCGTAGGACAACAGTTAGGGCTGGGGATGCGCCAAGCCACAAGCTGGGCCAGGCCGAGGGGCCTTCCGCCGGCAAAGGTGCACGCCGGGTTCTCGGGTCTGTCCCACCAGCAGGCTGGTTTCCAGGCAGACCGTCATGGGTGCCGGAGGGGAAAGGCTCTCAACAGCGAGGCAGTGGTCGTCAGGCAAGGGGCACACACTGTTCAGGTGGGGCTAGAAGTGGCAGGGCAGGTCCTTCTCTATCACCTGCAGGGAAGAGTGGGGGGTCAGAGGCAGCCTCTGCGGTGGCCCTGACCCCAGTGGGCTCCCGGGAGAGGCACATACCAGAGGCTCTTCCATGGGCCCATACCGCTTCACCACACAGCCGTTCTTGTCGATGAGGAACTGTCGGGTTGGAGGACTGTTAAGGGTGCTCTGCTGGGGGCCAGCGAGCACCCCACTACTGCCCCACCTGAGCCAGGGCCCGGAGCCCCTGGATACAGACAGCTCTGGCCCATCCCCATCTTACCTTGGTGAAGTTCCATTTGATGGCACTAGGGGAAGAACCACAAAGTCGTCATAAATCCCGGGTAAATTGGACCCCACAGCCCCGGGGGGCCACCATGCCCCTCCCTAGAGCCCCCAGGTCCCACTCACTTCCCCAGGGTGCCCCTCCCCTTGGGCTGGGCTTTCATCCACTTCCACAGCGGGTGGGCATCATCTCCGTTCACACAGATCTTGCTGTACATATCAAACTTGACGTTATAGCCAGCGGCAAACTCTTTGATCTCCGCGTTGCTCCCTGGCTCCTGTGGCAAGCCGGGGTACTGTGGTGAGTGCTGGAGGGCCTGCACCCCGTGGTGCCCCCTACTGTGGGCACAGACCCTCTGCACGCCCACACCCACGCCCAGGGACACGGGTGTCCACACACCTGTTTCCCAAACTGGTTGCAGGGGAAGGCCAGGATCCGCAAACCGCACTCAGCGTATCGGGCGTGCAGGTCGACAAGCTGAGTGTAGTTTACGTCTGTTTTGCCTCATTGCGAGGCCACGTTGGTGACGATGCACACGAAGCCCCTGGGGGCGGGATGGGACAGTCAGGGAACTCAGGGCTACCGATCGTCCACCGCCTCCCTACCAAGCAGGCGAATACCCACCGGTACTTGTCCAGGTTAACCATGTGCCCATCGATGTCCTTGGCTGAGAACTCGTGCATGGAGTGAGCAGAGCGCCAGTCGTCGCGGGCCGCGCACTGCAAGGCAAGTGTACGTTGAGCGGCGCGGACCAGCCTGGCACCCAGGGTCCGCTGCCACCCGGCCCACTCTCCCAGCGTCGGGTCCCGGAGAGAAGGATCGTAGGCGTATCCGTGCCCTGGGGCACGGCAAAGGTCACGACTGCTCCTTAAAGGTGCACGCCCGTGCCCAGCGGGACGCACGTGGCCGGAGAGTATCTGGGACCCAGCCAGACGCCGCAGAGGGCAGGGGAGCCTCGCGCGCACCGGGTCCGGGTCAGGACACGCAACGCAGCAGTCGTTCTCCCTGGCCGCAAGCTCCGCCCGCCCAGCCCGCCCAGGGCTCCTGGGCGCTCTCTTCCGCCGGGGGCGCGCTCTCTGACGCCCGCACGCCGGGGCTTTTCGCCGCCGGAGGACTCGGCGCCGCCGCCGCCTGCCCGGCAAACGGCACCGCTGCCTGCGGTGTCCCGGAGAGCCGGCGGCCGCGCGGCCCATGCCGCCCGACTCCGGCCGCACCCGCCCGGGGCACAGAGCCGAGTAGCCAAGGCGCCCCGCTGCCGTCTGACGCCAACGAGCGGCCCCGGCGCGAGGCAGGGGGAGGGGCGGGCGCGGCGCGTGACCTCGGATTTCCAGCCCTCCGGGCGCCCCCGGCGCCAGACCCGGCCGCCAAGGGCGAAGGGCGCCCTCGCTTCCTCGACGCAGAGGTCCTTGCAGCGCCCGGGGACGCCGCCCCGGGGATCCTGGCCACCCAGTCCTGCCCTCCGATCGCCGCCCGCCCCCACTCCCGGCCCCGACCCCGCCCCGCGATCCCGACCCTCGCCGGTGGCTGCCGGGGGAACGAGCGCCCCCCGCAAGCGCCCCAGTCCAAGGCCGCAGGGCCCGCGCGCCAGCCAACGGCCAGCCACCCCAGCCCGCCGCCCGCTCACCATGGTGCCCGCCAGGCCGGGAGCCGCCAGTGCCCCGCACAACAGCGCCGGCTTCAGCAGGCGGCACAGACGGCCGAGACTCATCGCGGCAGCGGAACGGCCAAGCAGCGCTCCTCCCCTCGCTGAGCCTGCCAATGGACGGGCGCCGGTGCGCCGCACCTCCCTTCCCTAGGCCACGCCCACTAGTGCCCTCATTGGTCGGACGCTCCTCCGCTAACGGACGTGTCCCGTGCCAGCCAATGGGAGGCCTGAGTGTGGGGGGCGCGGGGAGGGGGCGGGGCAAGACTAAGGCTTTGTTGTTGTGGGTGACTGCGCATGCCCGCCTGCGGGCGAGCGGCCGCGTCTAAGCAAGAGAAGCGTTGGTGGCTTAGGGACAGTTATCTGGGTGCCTGGCCCCGGATCCGCGTGACTCCACACAGCTTGAGCACTACTGGAAACCCGTGTGTGGGGTGTGGTGTGGCTTGAACTTGCAGAAGAGTCGCCCCAGCTCATTGAAAACTGGGGGATTTCTTTTAAATGTCAGTAAAATAAAACGGGGGTTTGGACTCCCGCACACTCAGGGCTGCGGTGCAGCCGTGCATGGCCCACCGAGTGGGGGCCCGGCGTGGGGACTGGGGCAACCGCCGCTACAGTGCCCTCCTCCAGTATAGCGGCAGATGCATCGCGTCTTTGGACACCGAGTCCCACCTGAGCCCATGGGGGATCCTAATTGGGCCCCCGCCCCGGGGCGCACCGGGCACCCGGAGCGGTATTCTCCCGGTACAGCCGTTAACGGCGGCTGCGCACGCGCAGGTCCGCAGCCCCCTTATCTCCCGCCCAGGCCTCTGGCGGAGGTGGCACGGAGGGGGTACGCAGCGGGTTCTTGTGAGCTGCGCCTCTGGAGCCCCTGCCAGCCACCCTGCGCTTGACCAGGGCCCCTGGGGCGCAGCTTTCTGAGCAGTTATGGAGTCCCTCTCTGGAGTGGGTCCTCTGGGGGAGCCCGTGAGCCCCCTCCCCGTGCCCCTGACCCGGGCCTGCCAGAGGGCAGAGCAGGAGGGCCTAGGTGGCAGTTCGATGATGGAGGCTGTGTAGCGAGGGTCCCCGGGGCCAGGTCTTGCTCAAACGGCCTTCCTCACGTGGCTTCTTCCCCCAGCCTGGCCACTGGGGTAGGCGGAGCTCCTGGAGCCGCTTCTTGGCACGGAGCCCCCATTATTTCACCAGGGCAGCCTCACTTGTCAGGAAGACGCCCCTTTCTGCCCCCCTCCAGAACCACTGGGTGTCACGGCCACACTATTAAGTCTATCAGACCTTTGGGGAGACTCGGCTGTTTCCAGATTTTCTCTGGTTCTGTCCTCTGACTTGGTTGTAAAGACAGCTGCAAAAATGGTTATATTTTTTCAGGGTAGGCAGAACAACAGCTCAGGGCTAAGCTCATTGAGGGAGGGGGAGGAGATGGGGCACGGCGGCCTTACCCTGTTCCTGAGGTAACAGCAGAGGCGGGGTGCAAACCTGCTGGGGCTGGAGCTGCCTGGCATGCCCCAGGCCCCGGCAGGGATTTGCACCTGGGGTTTCAGAGCTTTTTGCCAGAGAGACCCCACTTTAGAAATGGGGAAATTGAATCTTGGGGATGTCTCGAGGCTCCAGGGAGGCTACCCCCTGGTGGCTTTGGTCACTGTGTGTCCCCAAATCAGGAAGCTGAGCTGCTAACCCAAGTCCACCATTTTAAAATGTTTGCTCCAGTGATTTTCAGGGTATTTACTATGTTGTGTGAAGACCACCTCTACTTCCAGAATATTACCCTCAAAGCACCCCTTTCCCCATGAGCAGTTACCCCCGCTCTCCCCAGCCCATGACACCCTCCAGCCCACATTCCGTGGAGTCGCCTGCCGTGGGTGTGTCACAGAAATGGGGCCACACACTATGTGGCCTGTGTCTGGCACGGTTCAGAGTCCGTCCACGGTGTAGCACGTGCCAGGGATTCCCCATCATTTTCCTGTCTGATGGTGCTCCATGTGTGGATGGACCACATATTTCACCATCCACCCGTTTATGGACATTTGGGCAGTTTCCACCTTTTGGCTCTGTAATGCCGTACTAGTTTTTGTGTGTTTTGCACCCATTTTCATTTCTCTGAGTACTCCCATAGGAGTAGAACTACTGGGTCACATGGTGGCTCCTTGCTTACCTGCGGAACAGCCAGACTGCCTGCACCCACCTGCTGCCATTCCTGGGCCCTGCCCGGGTCTCCGTCCAGGCTGCCCCTCCCGTGACCTGGTTCGCCCCTCACTGCAGCGGCCTACTCACTTCTTTCTCCCATCTTAAACCCACCCCTAACACGCTCCCCCTCTCTTTGGGTGCTTTTGTGTCCACACCTCCAATTCCTTTCCTACCAAAAGCCACCCCACTCCTGCTAGGCCCCCTCCTCGGATCTGCCCTCATCCTGGCCATTGGTTAAACTCCTTTGGCTAAGCCTCTGCCTAAGCCTCAGGCCGGTTCAGATTTACCTCTTGGTGGCTTTGGCGATCCCTTCCTGTATTCCTCCTGCTCCAGTTACCTTCTTTACCTGGTCCCAGAGCACCTGGCAACCTCTTACTGCCCTTTATTCTATTTAATATGCACTTATGCAACACAGTGCCAGGCACTCCAGTCATTACCCAGATACCTCATGAACCAGGTCTGTTCTGCAGGGCAGGGGGAGGAAGGCAGTGAGACACAGAGAAACTGAGTAACTTGCCTAGGGTCACACAGCCAGGAATGGAGCCCAGGCTGCTCCAGGATCGCCCCAGCTCACCCTCTGGCCTTCTACCCCTCCACTGCACTGGCTTCCTTGCTGCTAGCACACCAGGCAAAGTGCACTTGCTGCACCCTCCACCCGACACACCTGCCTCCAGCCTACCCTGGGCACCCTGCTTCCTTTGGGCTTTGGCTGGAATCTCTCTGCTTGTTCCCTGACTCCTCTTTAGGACTGCAAACCTGCTATCCATCCTGTTAGCCTGCTCCTATCCTGTCTCTCCTGGAACGTGACGGGGTGCTGGCCTCTTCTGGTCACTCTGTGGTTGCTGTGTGGATCCTTGCGTGAACGGGTCACTGCATGCAAGTTAGGATGGCCTTGAGGGGTCAGGCGCAGATGCGCAGGTTACACATTCACCGCCAGGGCCCGTTGGATGTGCACGCAGCGGCTGGACTTGGGCTCAGGGTACGGGAACGGGGAGGGCAGGTGCGAGCACTCCCTGAGCGCCAGGAGCTATGGTGATCTCCTCCCAAGCACCGCTGTCCCTTTAGACTCGGAGCTAACCCCCCAAAGCTGGGGGCATTTTATTGTTTCCGTTGTACAGACGGGGAAACAGGCTGGGGCCGTAAGTTGAACACGGGCCAGAGCCAACCGAAAGAACCGGCTACAGTTGGATGCACAATTACATATGGGGCGCCTATGAGGCCGCCCAACCTTCCCTGAGGGCCGATAGGACCCCTGCCCCAGTCCGGGATTCACTTTCCCTGCCCACACCTTCCCTCCGCCTCCCGGGATTCTAAGAGATCGCCGCCAGCGGTCGCTGAGCCGAAACTACAATTCCCGGGAGGCCTTGCGGTCGAGGCCACGCGAGAACGGTGGGCGGGGCCGTTCGCCGGCCTCTCGCGCAGCCAACCACCGCCCTCAGAAGTCTCGGGCTGCCCTCGGCCTCGCCGTTCCAGAAACGGGCAGGGTTCAGGCGTTCGCTGAAGACAGCCCTGCACGCGGGGCGAGTAAGGGGGCCTGAGCTGGAAGCGGCGCAGGCGCAATCGGCGCGGTTCCTGCAGGGGCCCCGGCACGGTGAGAGCGAGCGGCCCCATGGATGACGAGGAGGAGACGTACCGGCTGTGGAAGATCCGCAAGACCATCATGCAGGTAGGCGGACGGCTAGTGCGCGGTCCAGAGGTGGGAGCGAGTTTCCCTCAGCCGCGCGGAGCGGAGGGGCGGCCGAAAGCGGGGTCTCCGGGGCTGCGTCGGGGCCCGGGGTCTGCGGGCACCGAGACGTCGTCCGAGTGGTCCCCGAGCAGGCAGGGTGGGGCTGGCCGGGGCCTGGGGGCTGCCCGGGACGCTCGCCGTCCCTCCGCGTCAGGGCCCCACGCAAGAGCGGGACAGGAGACGGCAGACACTCGGCCGTCCGCCGGCCTCCGTGCCTGGAGGGCTTAGCGCTGCCCCCAAGCGCAGGGCAGAGCCCCGGTCAGAGGGCGCGACCCGCCCCCCGGTGAGGCCGTCCCTCCCCGACCTTGCTGTCTGATGGCTGCTTCAGTGCTAAGACTTGCTCGGGCGGGACGTGAGGCAGGAACACCTCCAAGCTGGCTGAGCTTTTATCGTGTGCCGCTTGCTTCCAGGCACCCCAGGGAGGGACCAGCGTGATCCCCAGAGACCTGGGCCAAGAGCACCCAGCCCGCCGGGACTAAACCCAGGCAGCTGTACCAGTTCCTCTACTGCTTTGCAAAGATATCCCAGAGACAGGGCCCCGGGGCGGCTGTTCTTGAAGCTGACAGCGTTGGGGGCGGGAGGGAGAAGCCCTGCCTCTGCCCCACAACCCACAACACCCTCCAGGCGGCCGTCTCCACCTGCCCCAGATCCCGGCCCGTTGCCCGTTCCTGAGGCTCTAGATACGATGGTCGTGTGCGATTGGCAGCTGTCTACCTGGAGTGGCACAGGGGTTCTCTAGGGTGCGCCCGGGTCTTTGCACTCACCCCTTCTCTCCTCTCGGGCCTCCATACACCCCAGCTGTGCCGGGCCCCAGACTTTCTGCGTCGCCCTTTGCAGCAGCGTGGGCTGGCCTGAGCCTGCTGGGCTCCCCCCTGCACCCTGGAGTCACCTGGCTTGCCCTCTCCTCAGCTGTGCCATGACCGTGGCTACCTGGTGACCCAGGATGAGCTGGATCAGACGCTAGAGGAGTTCAAAGCCCAGTTTGGGGACAAGCCAAGTGAAGGGCGGCCGCGACGCACTGACCTCACCGTGCTAGTGGCCCACAACGATGACCCCACGGATCAGATGTTCGTCTTTTTCCCAGGTGAAGACCTTGCTAGCCGCATGTCCCCAAGGGGTTGTGTGTCAGGTGGAGCCATCCCAGCACCCCTCCACCTGACCTCAGGCCTTAGATCCCTGCCCTTGTGTCCTTTCTATCCCCCAACCTGGCTGCCCCCTGCAGTGCCCACCCCGTACAACTCCGGCACCACTGCAGGGCCCTAGCCCTGCCCTTGTCCCTGCCGACACCCTGTCGCCACACCCTTTTTCTCCTTGCTCTGTGTGGTTACTGCCTGTTACCCTGGAGAAGGAGCGCAGGTGCCTTCCCTTGCAGGACCCCCGTGTCTTAGTGCCCACGCCACTAAGGCAGCTGGGCTGTAGAGCCCCCAGAGGTTGGGGGGCTGTGCTGTGTCGTGAACAGCTTGGCATCTCCGTGCGTAGAATTGAGGAGCTGAGCAGAAAACATTTGCAGGATGGACCCGGGTGGCACTTTTAGGAAAGCATCCCGTATGTGAGATGTTTTTGTTGGGGGCTTCAGCGGCTAAAACACGCCAGCCCCATGGAGCTTCCTTGGCCTCCTGAGAACCTACCAGTGGGTTGTCCCTCCTTGGGGTTGGAGTTCTCGCTTCACCTGTGGCTTTGGTGGAAGTGGCGACAACACCGCTGCTTTCAGACGGCCCTCAGGATGGGGTCCGGGGTCCTGCCTGTCAGTCTGCCCAGGCTGCTCAAGCAGCTGAGGTTTGTTCCCTCCCAGCTCCCCAGTTCGGGAGGCTGCAGGTCCGATCCAGGTGTCTGTAGGACAGCTCCCCCCAGGCCTCACCCCTGGCGTGCATGCTGTGCTCCGTGTCCTCACAGTCGTGCCTCCGCGTGTCTGAGTCCCGATCTGTAGGAGGATGCCGGTCACCTTGGATTAGGGCCCACCGAAGGCCTCAACCCTAAGAATCTCTTTGAAGACCCCGTTTCTGGATGCACTCATATCTTGAGGTCCTGGGGTTAGGGTTCTAGCATAGGGATTTTGGGGACACACAGGGACCCATGACACTTCCTGTGGGTGGAGTGAAGGTCTGAGGAGAATGTGACGGAGGAGACATGCCATGTTCACAAATAAGACTTGGCTGGGAGGCCTGCACAGACCCTGGCGGCCAGCACCCAGCTGCTTGACCTGCTAAGGCCCTGGGGCCCACCTCTTCCCAAGTGACCGCGCTGGGCCCTGTGTGCTGGGGAGAGCGTGCAGACCCCACCACAGCAGTGTGAGAGCGGGCTCTCAGGTCACCTGGCCTCATCTCACCTGAGAACACCCCAGCCGCACATCTCTGGGCTCCCAGACTACATGACCTAACTCAGGGATCCGCAGGTCTCAGATCCCCTGAGGCCCCAGAACAAACCCAGATGCCCCGACCCTGCTTCCAGAGAGATCCCGTAGGTCTGGGACACTGCATGCCCTCCAGCACCCAGGTGATGTAGGGGCAGGCAGCCCCTTGTTGGGGAACTGTGGCCCCAGACAGAGTAAGCAGCTGGTCTCGGTGGTGCCAGGACACTTTGGCACAGCAGGGTGGGGTCAGCGGGCCCTGATGGCGTGGGCTGGCATGTGCTCTGTCCCCAGAGGAGCCTAAGGTGGGCATCAAGACCATCAAGGTGTACTGCCAGCGGATGCAGGAGGAGAACATCACACGGGCCCTCATCGTGGTGCAGCAGGGCATGACGCCCTCTGCCAAGCAGGTGGGCTCCCCATCCCCACGCTTGCCGAGAGGACCCTGGGCTAGTGCCGAGCAGGCGGAGCCTGCCCCAGCCCAGGCAGGACGTGGCTGCGTGCGTGCAGTGAGACCTCCCACTTCCTCTTGGCCCTGAGCCCGTGGACCCCACTTCCCCTTCCTGCGGCACCTCGCCAGGCTGTGGCGGTGGCTTCGACCGGGACATCCCATCACAGGCAGGGTGCTGTCCTGGCTCCTGGCTCCTGGCCCCTGGTGGGGCTCCAGGAGCTGAGAAGGAGCAGCTGTGGCATGGCCGGCCCCCAAGCAGGCCTGGCATACCCTGTGTCCCTTGATCGCTGGGCAGAGGAGCCAAGCAAGGCAGGGAAGGGGCCAGGGGACCAATGAGCACCCCCCGCCCTGTGTCCATGGTGGCTGTGGGGTCCTCATAGTCAGTCATGCCAGCTCGAGGACAGCCCCTGGAGCATTTGACAGCTAGAAATCGCCAGCACCATGCCAGCTGTCAGCATTTGAAACACAAGGCCCAGGCCCAAGAAATGTGCAGGCCGGGCAGGCTGGTGGGCTCCTTGCGTGCAGAAACCCAGCTGTAGGGTGGGTTTTCCCGGTTGGTTCGTGGTGCATGACGTCTCCTTGGAGGGTAGACCCTGTGCAGCTTGCAGCTTTCTGCCTGCCGGCAGCCTTCAAGAAGAAAGTGGGACCGGGATGTCGGCCCAGCCTTACCTGAGGGTGGGTGTCTCTTCCAGTCACTGGTCGACATGGCCCCCAAGTACATCCTGGAGCAGTTTCTGCAGCAGGAGCTGCTCATCAACATCACAGAGCACGAGGTGGGGCTTCCGGGTGGGGTTCTCACGGTGTGGGTCCCAGGCTGGGGGCAGCCGCTTCCAGGGAGGTTGCCAGGAATGCAGACTCCAGGCCCACCCAGCCTGCAGGGCCCTGGGCAAGGGGCGGGCTCTGTCCTGAGAGCCCCAGGGGTCCTGGGCGGTGGCGTCAGGAGGAGGGTGGGATCCGGGCAGAGGCTGGTGTCGCGTGCCCAGCGCCTGGGGTTGGTGGTTCGCCGGGGAAACATCCTGGGCCCACCAGCCCCCCTCTGTGGGGGAGGTGCAGGGGCCTGTGGCCCCGGGAGACTCGGGCCTCTTCTTGGCAGCTGGTCCCAGAGCACGTGGTCATGACGAAGGAGGAGGTCACTGAGCTGCTGGCCCGGTAGTATCCTTCCGTCCACCCCGCCCTGCCCTGCCCTGCCCTGCCCTCCCCTCCCGGCTTCGCACGTCCCCTCCCAGTCGGCCCAGTGTGGTGTTTCCCTGACCGTGCTTCCCAGTAAACTCCGAGAGAGCCAGCTGCCGAGGATTCAGGCCGGGGACCCCGTGGCGCGCTACTTTGGGATTAAGCGGGGGCAGGTGAGAGCCCTCCTGGGCCGCCCCGCCCCAGCCCCTTCCCGCATGCGTGGGGCCCTTAGGGCCGCACCTCCAGCCCTTTAGAAGGCCGCTAGGCCAGGGAGGCGGTCACCGTGAGTTGGCCCAGCCCCGGGTTGGGGTTTCTGGAACCACCCAGCCCCAGGCCCCGCCTTGTAGGTGGTGAAGATCATCCGGCCCAGTGAGACCGCGGGCAGGTACATCACGTACCGGCTGGTGCAGTAGTGCCTGACCCGAAGGTGAGGTGAGCCCCGTGGCCCGGTGTGGGACCTGGGGGACGGCAGTACAGGGCTTGGGGGGTGCAGGAAGGACCTGGCTCTGGCCCAAGAGTGAGCCCACCTGTTGCCCGCCCCCTGAGGTTATGACCGGTCTGCATCCCCCTGTGGGGTGCAGAGGCACCTGGCTCTGCCCAGCCCTCGGGTCAGCACTGTCACATGGTTGTCATCTTTTCTCTTGCCCGTCCCCTGGCAGAGAGAGGGACTGTGGCCCCTGCTCTGGGCTGGGGGCGTGCTGGCCGGCCTGCCCCCCAGGAATCTTGCTGCTGTTCTGGACCCCGAGGCAGCGCTGCATGGGTTTGCATTCCTGGGCTGAGCCCCAGCCCGTACCCGTGCGAGGGCACCACGTGGAGGCCTTGGCTGCCCGCCTGCTCTAGCCTCCGTGTCTTCTGCACCCCCACCCCCAGCCTCCCATCACCACAACCCCTGGCCCGTCAGGTGGCCCTCGTGCCCTGACCTGTCGTCTGGAGTTGGAGTTGCTGTTGCTATTGAATGCTGGTGTTTTTACAATTAAAGATATTTTGAGTAAACAAGTTGATTTGTCTGAAAATCCAGGGCAGAGTAACAGGTTTGGGGTGAGCAGCCTGGCCCCCGGTTCTCCAGGGCCTGCTCCGCACAGTGCGGGTGAGTGTGTGCCTGCCCGCCGCCCTGGCCGGGAAGCGGGAGCTGCACTCCAGCTGATTTCAGCCTCTGCGTAGAGGTTGGGATCTGCCGTCCACTCCCGCGTTAGGGTGATATCTCACAGGCCTTCCCCACCCTGGAGGAGCAGTTGTTTGGTTTTCTTTCTTTGACTTACAGCTTTGTTGGGATACGACCCGCATACCATACAGCTCACCTATTACAATGTACAATTCAGTGTCTTGGTACTGCCAGTTCCAGAACATTCCATCTCCCCAGGAAGCCCCGTCCCCATCAGCAGTCGCCCCAGCACCCACGAGCCCACATGCTGTCTAGATTTGCCTGTTCTGGACATTTCACAGAAATAGGGTCACATCGCACTGTGGGGCCTGTGTGTCTGGCGTCTCACTGAGCCCATGTCAGTGGCGTGTCCACATGTGGTGCGTGGCAGGGCTGTGCTGCTTGTCGCTGTATGATGAGTATGGGTGGACACGGGTGCATCTGCTGACCTGCTGAAGTACATCTGGGCTGTTTTTGCTTCTCAGCAACCATGAATGTTGCCTTGGGCATTGTGTATGGGTTTCTGGGTGTGTGTGCATTTTTCCTGGGTGTGAGCCGGGAGGGGAGCTGCTGGGTCCTGTGGAAACTGGTGACCGGTTTGAGGAGCCACCGAACTGCTTTCCACAGCAGCCGCCCCGCCACAGCCCTGCCAGGGACGTGCGGGGGCTCCTCTGCATGTGTGTTCACGTGCTTGTCATCCTGCGTGGGGGGGGTTCTCACCGCTTATGAATCATTTTCCCTGAGGACTAGTGACACTGAGTCTATTCCTGAGCTTGGCCACGTGCGGGTCATCTTTTGAGAAACACTGTTGAGACCCTCTGCCTGCAGGTCAGTGCGTCTTTTTTGTGTGGTAGGACTTGTGCTCAGCACGCAGCGTCCTTAGAGATCGTGTCCCTTACCAGACACCTGAAATGCAAAATAATTTTTCCTGTTTTTGTGTTTCTTAAAGTAGCCATTGACAGATTTGGTGTTTACATGCGCAGCTTGGGTCCTGTGATTTACCTGTGGTCGCTGCAGGATGTAGGGATGTGACCGCCCCCAGGCAGACGGTGGTCTGGGGGACATGGCTCATGGGCTGGCAGGTCCCCTCCTCGCCACCCTGAACCGCCACCCTCCCGTGTGCGCACAAACAGGCAGGTCTGCTTAGAGACCCTCTCCCGTGACCGACTTAATGTTCCTGAATTAGTGACACAGTATGTCTGACAGTAGAGCAACTCTCTCCTTTCCTCCCAAGTACACATGCGTTGTTTTCAAAAACCATCTTGACCAAAATGAGCTGGACACAAAAGGGCAGGTCCTGACCGATCCCACCCCTGGGAGGTCCCCAGAGGAGCCCCATCCACAGAGACAGAAAGTAGGTGGTGGGCCAGGGGCTGGGGGTGTGGGGAGTGACTGTTTCATGGGGACAGAGCTTCAGTTTGGGCAGATGGAGCGTTCTAGAGACAGAGGGCAGGGATGGCTACACCACATGTGAATGTGCTTCATGCCTCCAGCTGTGCTACTTAAAAATGGTAGAAATGGTAATTGGATGTGCTCTGCCACAATAAAAAAATGGTCCTGGCTATTCTTGAAAATTTATTCTTGCAAATGAATTCTGGAATCAGCTCACCGTCCATGAAAATTCCTTTTGCTTTTGGTTGAATTTGTTTTGTCTCTGAGGCTGGGTACTCTGCTTGCGCGTCAGGTTCCAGCCTGGGAGGGCGAGGGCAGGCCCGTCAGGGAGCTTGCTGGTACCTCCCGCCCGGCAGCACTGAGCTTTCCTCCGGGCGTACACCCCATGGTCCCTTGGGGCCAGACCTCATGCCACCAGGCATGACCTGTGCCAAGTCCCCACGATCGGTTCTGGGTGGGCTGTTGCTCTGACCCCTGCCTTGGGGCCTCCAGAAGAGGCACCCCGCTTGGCTTGGCTGGGCTGAAGAGTGGGGCCTGGTGTTCACATAGTTTGCTGGCCACCTTGACATGCTGTGAGCCTGGGTCAAGCCTTGCCTGAAGCTGGCACCACCTGTGGATTATCAGGAGCCTCATTAACAGCACCTGGGCTGACAGGTGTTTGCATCTGGGAGCTAGATGGTTTTCATGACATTTGCTTTGATTGGTGCCTGTAAGTGGGAAACTGCCCACCTTCTGAATGCTGTGAGCAAAGTTGGTTTCATCTGTTAATTCTTCTGACCTTTTTAAAGTGTATGTCGGGTCAGCAGTTGGCCAGACGTCTGTTTAGCACTTAACTCTGCTGCCCCATGGGGCAGGAGTGGCCTCGGGCAGCATGTAATGAAGTGGGTGCAGTGTGTCACCAACCTCTGCAAGAGAACCGCAGCGAGGGGCTGCCGTTTGCCGGGCCCGTGCCCCCCACCTTACGCTCTCAGAAAGCTGCTGCCGGGAGGCCAGGCCCAGGCCAGCCGCTGCACCCGTAGCAAAGCTGGGCTATGCGGCTGGCTAGGGGTGCCCTGTCAGGAGGGGTGGCCCCTCTGCTGCCTCACTGCTGAAACCGTGACTGTGTGCGAATCGCATCGGATTTCCCACATGCTGCTGTCAGCCCTCTGGGTAAAGCCAAGCTGAGGGTCTGGCCACATTTCCAGGGCTCAGGAGCCGTGGGGGCTGGCTGCTGCACGGGCGGCGGGCACTCCGTCGCCAGGAAGGGCCCAGTGCACAGCGCTGAGCAACTTCACATGAGGGGCCCCCGTCTGCGCCGTTCGCCTCAAGGGCCACCGGGGCACACGCACCCAGTGAGGCCGTGTTCGGTGGAGTCCCTCTTCCTCACAGCCCTCCCCGGTGAGGAGCCTCTGTCCCCCTCCTGCCACTGCCGGAGAAGACAGGCCCAGGTCAAAAACTTTATTTTAAGCAAAATAAATGCATGTCAAAGAACCACAGTGTGGCCTGAGAAGGCACTAACCCTGTACCTAAGGCCCAGGGGTCCAATCCCAGTTCTCCACAAAAGCAAGGGCGTCTTGAAGCCACCGCCAGCCCACCCAGTGTGGCTGCCACGGCCTGGCGGCATGAGGCCAGGACAGAGCCTGTGGTGGACGGGTGGCTGGGCCCAAGGAAAGGGGTCGCTCAGCAGGGATGTTTTCCCGTCCACACAGCCCCGGAGTAACTCCAGTTTGGCCAAGCGGGCCTGCCAGGCACAGGGGCACAGGGATACGAGCTCCTGGAAGCCTCTGGAAAAGGTGGCCGGTGCTGCCCTCACTGCGGGTGGCAGGGAGGCCCCCCGGTGAGTGGACGCGCAGCCTGAGAGCTCCGGCCACAGAGCCCAGGACGACGTGGCCGGGCGCAGGGATGCCCACGGGGACGGGAACTGGGCCCGCCCCAGCTAGACGAACACCAGCCACCTGTCCTGGCCAGCACCCACCGCAGCCCACCTGCCCCTGCGGAGCCTCATGGCAGGCAGCCAGGCCCCGGCAACGCTGTTGTTCTGGTTGGTGTTGTACTCGGAGAGCGGCTGGGCCAGGTCCTCGCCCTCACCCGCCCCGTCCCCGTCCCCGTCCCCGCCCAGCCCGGCCACGGCCTCCAGCCGCTCCTCGCTGCCGCTGCAGCTGCCTCGGCTCCCCTCCGTGCCGGCCTCGCTGCCCTGCTTCTCCAGGAAGCTGAGGCGGTGCAGGGTGGCCCCGCCTGCCGGGGACAGCAGCCCCGAGGCCTCGTCCAGGTCAGAGTCAGAGTCATTGGAGGCAACGCGGGATCCTGAGAAGCCAAGAGGGGGAGATGCCGGTGGGACGGGGAACTGCCCGGCCATCCACCCGCCCCCTCCCAGCACGGGCCAGGTGACTCTCAGCACACAGGTGATTGCCACAACGAGGCCACCCCCGCTTGTGAGCCACAGATTGAAGATGTAGTCGACAGACGTGCCATCTGCAGGACAGAGCCTGCAGAAGGTGCGCCAGGCACTGTGGGCCTGCAACACACCAACCCGCCAGCCCCCCGTGTGCCCCAGCAGGCACTGGGGCTGCGCGGCTCACCTTGGCCCCCATCCTCAGCCACCTCTTGCAGGGGGAAGGCAGCCCCCTCACTCGCCTCCAGGTACGGCATCTGGACCACCACCTCAGCCTGCTGGTTGTACGTCCCATCCTGTGGGTGTGGCACAGAGGTCACGGAGGGGCCGGGAGGCCAGCCCATCCAACGTCCGTTTCATGTCTTATAAATTAACAATTAAAAACTGTTAACATGCGCTGCAGCCAAAGACATGTGATGCCCTGGTCCCGAGTCCAGCTGGGGCAGCAGGCCCGGCCCCTGCACAGACACCAGCGCGGGAGCTGCTCTCCCAAGGCCTCACCCAGGCTGTGAACCTCCTCCGCCCGCCTCCCGTGAGCACGGGGAGACCCAGACGAGGATCAAAGACTCGTCCCAGGGACTCGGGCAGCAGGGGACACGGAGCTGCAGAGACGGGGACCCAGAGGCTAGGCGAAGTGGCAGGTGCGCCGGGGGTGGGCACAGGCAGCCGTGAGGGGCAGAGGAGGGCCAGGGGAGCCAGCTGCGGAGCTCTGTCCTGGCTGGGCCACCCCACTGAGCCCGCACGCCCTCAGCTCCTGTCTGAGCCAGGCCTCCGCGGCGCTTCCCACATGCCCTTGGCAAGGGGGACTGCCGACCCCACAGCACTTGCCGGGAACAGACAGCCCGGGGTCCCCACACACTCACCTGGCCCCCGGGCACCCCCTCGGGCTCCTCCTCAAACACCAGGCTGTAGTGGGTGATGAGGGTCTCCACGACGCGGGCCTGGTGGGGATAGTCGACAAGCGAGGAGAGGGACACGGTGGCCTCGGTGGGCCGCGGCCGCAGCAGCGAGGGCCCAAACACGATGCCCAGGTTCCCCGGGGTCATCTTGTTGTCTTGCTCCACCTCCACGATCCTGGGGGAGTCGCGAAGACGCAGGAGTGGGTATGAGCGGCTCTCTGGCCCTGCCACCCCCGGCCCCAGCCCGTCTGGCTCACCTGCGCAGGTGCCGCAGCAGGTACTGAAGTGAGGCCCGGTTCTCCGGGGGCAGGTCCTGCAGCAGCTCCCGCAGCCGGCCAGCCATGGCCACGGCCGCAGCCTCGCTCTCGGCCACGTCCGGCCGGCCCCGGGACACCGCCTTGGCCTCAGCCTCAGCCTTCAGGCTGTCCTTGGCCAGCCCCACAAGCTCATGGTAGAGCCGAAAGGATATGAGCGGCTCAGGCAGCTGCGGGGGTCGTGGGTCAGTGCACAGCCACGTCCGCCCTGGGCCAGCCCTGCCCCGCCCGTCCCCAGCACACCTGGCGCAGGTAGAGCTTGAGCACGTTGCTGATATCGTGTGGCGAGGCCTGGGAGAGCTCCACCAGCTCCTCGCCAGCCTCGAAGGCCTGGCACAGCTTCTCCACACGCGTCTTCACCCCGTTGACCCGGTAGATGCCCTGTGGGGGCCACCGTCAACCTCGGCCCAGGCCCCCTGCCCCAGGGAGAACCCCTGCCCACCCCGGTGGCCACCTTGGTGTGCAGGGCCCGCTGCTCGATCTCACAGACGCATTTCCTGATGACGAAGGGCACGCCGTCGGGGGCTCTGCGGGCAGCTCGGCTGAAGTCCTGGCCGAAGAGCTGCAGGCGGCCCTGCAGCTTCTTATGGCCACACTGGATGGCCAGGGTCTCCAGGCACTTCTTGTGGCAGGCCAGGCAGCACTGGAGGCGGGCAGACAGTGACCCCTGGCTCTGCCTCTGCCCCGGGAAGCCCTCATATCCGCCTGGCACTGTGGCTTCCAAAAACGCCCTGTGCCCGCCTCCCAGACGCTGTCCCTGGGCCCCACTCACCTCCTCGCACTCGGCACCCTGGAAGTAGACATAGCTGTTGCATTCCCGGCACTTGGCTGGCGTGCGCAGCTTTCGGAGCCGGTGGGTACGGGCCGCTTTGGACAGCCCCATGTGGCGGAAGGGGCCACTGGGCATAGCCACTGGCAGCTCGGGGGCCATGCCGTTGAGGTCGGCTGGGGAGAGCGGACAGTCAGCCTCATGGAGGCAGGTGGAGCCAGACCCCAGTAGACCCACACCTGCTCCCATGACTGCCTGGCTCAGGCCCCTCACCCTGCTCGAAGGCGGACACCCCTGCGCCGCCCTCTGGGTCCGCCAGCTCCTCACTGGATGACATGGTGCCACTGGACGATGTCCGCTCGAACTTCTTAAAGTCCCCTGGTTAGGAAATGGGGGTGTCAGCAGTACCCCAACCCAGACACCAGCCAGACAGTTCCCTTATCCTCACCCCTGTGGCCATGGGGCCCCTTCACCTGAGCCGGGGCTGGGGTCCAGGCTGCCGTCAGAGTCCGAGACGGAGATGGGCCAGGACTTGTGCGGCTGGTGCCCGCGCCTACCTGTGGGAGGAGGCACATCTGGTGAAGGGCTGAGTGGGGCTGGGAGCCACCCCGTGTCCCCACCAGGCACTCACCCCTGCTCCCCTTGGCAAGCGCCCCATCGCTGGGCCCTCCTTCCTCTGGGGGGCTGCCCGCAGCCTCCGTGCCTGTGACATCACTGACGTTGAAGCTGCCTTTCCGGGCACGCATGACGGGGGACCTGGCGGGGCCAACAGCCGGGGGCAGGGACCGTGGTGTGGGTCACAGAGCACTTCCCGCCCACAGCCCCGGGTGCCGCTGTCCCCAGTACGTGCAGATGCCGTACCAGGTGTTGGAGACGTGGGGCTCAAAGTCGTAGCGGACATCTGGCTCCTCGTCGCGCCGCAGCTGGCACACGTGGGAGGCATACTGCTGGCCCGGGTCGTACAGCTTGCTGCTCTCGCACAGCATCTGGAAGTGCACGGGCAGCGGGGCTGTCTGCATGTGCATCATCTGGTAGTAGGAGATGGTGGCCTGCGGGCAGGTGGGTGGCGGTTAGGGGCCAGCAGCGGCAGCCCCCACCCGCCTGCACGCTGGCGCCTGCACACACCGACTTGATGGTCTGGTCACTCTGCCGGATGACCTCCTGGATTTGCCGGAGCGCTGTCACCTTGGTGTCCTCCAGCTCCTGTTTCTGCGTCTTGGCGTCCGCCACGCATGTGCGGTACGTGGCCATGGCTTCCTCCGCCTGGGGAGGGAGCGAGGGGGCCGGGGTGGCCTCAGCTCGAGCCCAGCCCTCAGGGTGGCGTCAGGCCCCGCCGGGACCCACCGGCAGGCAGGACCCACAGCCTGGCCCGGAGCACTGTCCCCCCCACCGGCCCTCACCTTGTTCTTGGCCTCCTCCTCCACACGCCGCCGCTTGTCCAGGGTCTTGGATGCCGCACCCCCTGCCCCAGGCCCAGTGCCCGCCTGCTCCTCCTCAGCCCTGGACACCAGGAGGTGAGCCTTGTTGTGGTCCTCGCACCGCTGAAAGTAGCCCTGCTTGGCCTTCCGCAGGTTGGACACCGCCTCGTGCTGCGTGCGTGGGAAGGAGGCAGCCAGCGTCGGGCCTCCCTCCCCACCCTACCAGCTGCACCCTGAGGTAGGCACCTCTACCACCTGCATCTTGCACCAAGATCCCGTGGCCCTGCTAGGCACACACAGGTCCCCACTGGGCACACACAGGTCTGCGCCGGGCACACAGAGGTCCCTGCCCAAGGTCTGCTGGCAGACGAACAGGAGGGCACACCTCCAGCGGCCGCCAGGAGGGATGGGCCTCTGGCGCACTGGCCCGGGATAGCCCAGGAAGCCGCAGCACACACTCCATGCGCTGCCGGCACCTACACCCACCCCTCCCACAGCTTCTGTCTCTCTCACTTCCCTTCCTGCCGAGGAGAAGAGTAAGGCCGCCATGGCAGGAAGCCACACACCCTCAGGCTTGGCAGGAAGAGCATACTGGTCAAAGCCCGTGGGCCTTCTGGCTGCCGTACCTCACGGCCTCCACCAACCGAAATTTAAACATAAAGAGGAAAATTAATACTAGTAGTAGGAGAAACCGGGGAGAGTTGTTTTAAATAACCATGTGTGGGGAACACCTTCCAGTACATGACACAAAATCCAGAGGCCACAGAAGGCAAGACGTCTACTCACAATTGCCGTTTCTACCTGGCTACACAGGCCACAGACAAAATCAAAAGTCAGAACGAACACCCCGCTTGGCTTGGCTGGGCTGAAGAGTGGGGCCTGGTGTTCACATAGTTTGCTGGCCACCTTGACATGCTGTGAGCCTGGGTCAAGCCTTGCCTGAAGCTGGCACCACCTGTGGATTATCAGGAGCCTCATTAACAGCACCTGGGCTGACAGGTGTTTGCATCTGGGAGCTAGATGGTTTTCATGACATTTGCTTTGATTGGTGCCTGTAAGTGGGAAACTGCCCACCTTCTGAATGCTGTGAGCAAAGTTGGTTTCATCTGTTAATTCTTCTGACCTTTTTAAAGTGTATGTCGGGTCAGCAGTTGGCCAGACGTCTGTTTAGCACTTAACTCTGCTGCCCCATGGGGCAGGAGTGGCCTCGGGCAGCATGTAATGAAGTGGGTGCAGTGTGTCACCAACCTCTGCAAGAGAACCGCAGCGAGGGGCTGCCGTTTGCCGGGCCCGTGCCCCCCACCTTACGCTCTCAGAAAGCTGCTGCCGGGAGGCCAGGCCCAGGCCAGCCGCTGCACCCGTAGCAAAGCTGGGCTATGCGGCTGGCTAGGGGTGCCCTGTCAGGAGGGGTGGCCCCTCTGCTGCCTCACTGCTGAAACCGTGACTGTGTGCGAATCGCATCGGATTTCCCACATGCTGCTGTCAGCCCTCTGGGTAAAGCCAAGCTGAGGGTCTGGCCACATTTCCAGGGCTCAGGAGCCGTGGGGGCTGGCTGCTGCACGGGCGGCGGGCACTCCGTCGCCAGGAAGGGCCCAGTGCACAGCGCTGAGCAACTTCACATGAGGGGCCCCCGTCTGCGCCGTTCGCCTCAAGGGCCACCGGGGCACACGCACCCAGTGAGGCCGTGTTCGGTGGAGTCCCTCTTCCTCACAGCCCTCCCCGGTGAGGAGCCTCTGTCCCCCTCCTGCCACTGCCGGAGAAGACAGGCCCAGGTCAAAAACTTTATTTTAAGCAAAATAAATGCATGTCAAAGAACCACAGTGTGGCCTGAGAAGGCACTAACCCTGTACCTAAGGCCCAGGGGTCCAATCCCAGTTCTCCACAAAAGCAAGGGCGTCTTGAAGCCACCGCCAGCCCACCCAGTGTGGCTGCCACGGCCTGGCGGCATGAGGCCAGGACAGAGCCTGTGGTGGACGGGTGGCTGGGCCCAAGGAAAGGGGTCGCTCAGCAGGGATGTTTTCCCGTCCACACAGCCCCGGAGTAACTCCAGTTTGGCCAAGCGGGCCTGCCAGGCACAGGGGCACAGGGATACGAGCTCCTGGAAGCCTCTGGAAAAGGTGGCCGGTGCTGCCCTCACTGCGGGTGGCAGGGAGGCCCCCCGGTGAGTGGACGCGCAGCCTGAGAGCTCCGGCCACAGAGCCCAGGACGACGTGGCCGGGCGCAGGGATGCCCACGGGGACGGGAACTGGGCCCGCCCCAGCTAGACGAACACCAGCCACCTGTCCTGGCCAGCACCCACCGCAGCCCACCTGCCCCTGCGGAGCCTCATGGCAGGCAGCCAGGCCCCGGCAACGCTGTTGTTCTGGTTGGTGTTGTACTCGGAGAGCGGCTGGGCCAGGTCCTCGCCCTCACCCGCCCCGTCCCCGTCCCCGTCCCCGCCCAGCCCGGCCACGGCCTCCAGCCGCTCCTCGCTGCCGCTGCAGCTGCCTCGGCTCCCCTCCGTGCCGGCCTCGCTGCCCTGCTTCTCCAGGAAGCTGAGGCGGTGCAGGGTGGCCCCGCCTGCCGGGGACAGCAGCCCCGAGGCCTCGTCCAGGTCAGAGTCAGAGTCATTGGAGGCAACGCGGGATCCTGAGAAGCCAAGAGGGGGAGATGCCGGTGGGACGGGGAACTGCCCGGCCATCCACCCGCCCCCTCCCAGCACGGGCCAGGTGACTCTCAGCACACAGGTGATTGCCACAACGAGGCCACCCCCGCTTGTGAGCCACAGATTGAAGATGTAGTCGACAGACGTGCCATCTGCAGGACAGAGCCTGCAGAAGGTGCGCCAGGCACTGTGGGCCTGCAACACACCAACCCGCCAGCCCCCCGTGTGCCCCAGCAGGCACTGGGGCTGCGCGGCTCACCTTGGCCCCCATCCTCAGCCACCTCTTGCAGGGGGAAGGCAGCCCCCTCACTCGCCTCCAGGTACGGCATCTGGACCACCACCTCAGCCTGCTGGTTGTACGTCCCATCCTGTGGGTGTGGCACAGAGGTCACGGAGGGGCCGGGAGGCCAGCCCATCCAACGTCCGTTTCATGTCTTATAAATTAACAATTAAAAACTGTTAACATGCGCTGCAGCCAAAGACATGTGATGCCCTGGTCCCGAGTCCAGCTGGGGCAGCAGGCCCGGCCCCTGCACAGACACCAGCGCGGGAGCTGCTCTCCCAAGGCCTCACCCAGGCTGTGAACCTCCTCCGCCCGCCTCCCGTGAGCACGGGGAGACCCAGACGAGGATCAAAGACTCGTCCCAGGGACTCGGGCAGCAGGGGACACGGAGCTGCAGAGACGGGGACCCAGAGGCTAGGCGAAGTGGCAGGTGCGCCGGGGGTGGGCACAGGCAGCCGTGAGGGGCAGAGGAGGGCCAGGGGAGCCAGCTGCGGAGCTCTGTCCTGGCTGGGCCACCCCACTGAGCCCGCACGCCCTCAGCTCCTGTCTGAGCCAGGCCTCCGCGGCGCTTCCCACATGCCCTTGGCAAGGGGGACTGCCGACCCCACAGCACTTGCCGGGAACAGACAGCCCGGGGTCCCCACACACTCACCTGGCCCCCGGGCACCCCCTCGGGCTCCTCCTCAAACACCAGGCTGTAGTGGGTGATGAGGGTCTCCACGACGCGGGCCTGGTGGGGATAGTCGACAAGCGAGGAGAGGGACACGGTGGCCTCGGTGGGCCGCGGCCGCAGCAGCGAGGGCCCAAACACGATGCCCAGGTTCCCCGGGGTCATCTTGTTGTCTTGCTCCACCTCCACGATCCTGGGGGAGTCGCGAAGACGCAGGAGTGGGTATGAGCGGCTCTCTGGCCCTGCCACCCCCGGCCCCAGCCCGTCTGGCTCACCTGCGCAGGTGCCGCAGCAGGTACTGAAGTGAGGCCCGGTTCTCCGGGGGCAGGTCCTGCAGCAGCTCCCGCAGCCGGCCAGCCATGGCCACGGCCGCAGCCTCGCTCTCGGCCACGTCCGGCCGGCCCCGGGACACCGCCTTGGCCTCAGCCTCAGCCTTCAGGCTGTCCTTGGCCAGCCCCACAAGCTCATGGTAGAGCCGAAAGGATATGAGCGGCTCAGGCAGCTGCGGGGGTCGTGGGTCAGTGCACAGCCACGTCCGCCCTGGGCCAGCCCTGCCCCGCCCGTCCCCAGCACACCTGGCGCAGGTAGAGCTTGAGCACGTTGCTGATATCGTGTGGCGAGGCCTGGGAGAGCTCCACCAGCTCCTCGCCAGCCTCGAAGGCCTGGCACAGCTTCTCCACACGCGTCTTCACCCCGTTGACCCGGTAGATGCCCTGTGGGGGCCACCGTCAACCTCGGCCCAGGCCCCCTGCCCCAGGGAGAACCCCTGCCCACCCCGGTGGCCACCTTGGTGTGCAGGGCCCGCTGCTCGATCTCACAGACGCATTTCCTGATGACGAAGGGCACGCCGTCGGGGGCTCTGCGGGCAGCTCGGCTGAAGTCCTGGCCGAAGAGCTGCAGGCGGCCCTGCAGCTTCTTATGGCCACACTGGATGGCCAGGGTCTCCAGGCACTTCTTGTGGCAGGCCAGGCAGCACTGGAGGCGGGCAGACAGTGACCCCTGGCTCTGCCTCTGCCCCGGGAAGCCCTCATATCCGCCTGGCACTGTGGCTTCCAAAAACGCCCTGTGCCCGCCTCCCAGACGCTGTCCCTGGGCCCCACTCACCTCCTCGCACTCGGCACCCTGGAAGTAGACATAGCTGTTGCATTCCCGGCACTTGGCTGGCGTGCGCAGCTTTCGGAGCCGGTGGGTACGGGCCGCTTTGGACAGCCCCATGTGGCGGAAGGGGCCACTGGGCATAGCCACTGGCAGCTCGGGGGCCATGCCGTTGAGGTCGGCTGGGGAGAGCGGACAGTCAGCCTCATGGAGGCAGGTGGAGCCAGACCCCAGTAGACCCACACCTGCTCCCATGACTGCCTGGCTCAGGCCCCTCACCCTGCTCGAAGGCGGACACCCCTGCGCCGCCCTCTGGGTCCGCCAGCTCCTCACTGGATGACATGGTGCCACTGGACGATGTCCGCTCGAACTTCTTAAAGTCCCCTGGTTAGGAAATGGGGGTGTCAGCAGTACCCCAACCCAGACACCAGCCAGACAGTTCCCTTATCCTCACCCCTGTGGCCATGGGGCCCCTTCACCTGAGCCGGGGCTGGGGTCCAGGCTGCCGTCAGAGTCCGAGACGGAGATGGGCCAGGACTTGTGCGGCTGGTGCCCGCGCCTACCTGTGGGAGGAGGCACATCTGGTGAAGGGCTGAGTGGGGCTGGGAGCCACCCCGTGTCCCCACCAGGCACTCACCCCTGCTCCCCTTGGCAAGCGCCCCATCGCTGGGCCCTCCTTCCTCTGGGGGGCTGCCCGCAGCCTCCGTGCCTGTGACATCACTGACGTTGAAGCTGCCTTTCCGGGCACGCATGACGGGGGACCTGGCGGGGCCAACAGCCGGGGGCAGGGACCGTGGTGTGGGTCACAGAGCACTTCCCGCCCACAGCCCCGGGTGCCGCTGTCCCCAGTACGTGCAGATGCCGTACCAGGTGTTGGAGACGTGGGGCTCAAAGTCGTAGCGGACATCTGGCTCCTCGTCGCGCCGCAGCTGGCACACGTGGGAGGCATACTGCTGGCCCGGGTCGTACAGCTTGCTGCTCTCGCACAGCATCTGGAAGTGCACGGGCAGCGGGGCTGTCTGCATGTGCATCATCTGGTAGTAGGAGATGGTGGCCTGCGGGCAGGTGGGTGGCGGTTAGGGGCCAGCAGCGGCAGCCCCCACCCGCCTGCACGCTGGCGCCTGCACACACCGACTTGATGGTCTGGTCACTCTGCCGGATGACCTCCTGGATTTGCCGGAGCGCTGTCACCTTGGTGTCCTCCAGCTCCTGTTTCTGCGTCTTGGCGTCCGCCACGCATGTGCGGTACGTGGCCATGGCTTCCTCCGCCTGGGGAGGGAGCGAGGGGGCCGGGGTGGCCTCAGCTCGAGCCCAGCCCTCAGGGTGGCGTCAGGCCCCGCCGGGACCCACCGGCAGGCAGGACCCACAGCCTGGCCCGGAGCACTGTCCCCCCCACCGGCCCTCACCTTGTTCTTGGCCTCCTCCTCCACACGCCGCCGCTTGTCCAGGGTCTTGGATGCCGCACCCCCTGCCCCAGGCCCAGTGCCCGCCTGCTCCTCCTCAGCCCTGGACACCAGGAGGTGAGCCTTGTTGTGGTCCTCGCACCGCTGAAAGTAGCCCTGCTTGGCCTTCCGCAGGTTGGACACCGCCTCGTGCTGCGTGCGTGGGAAGGAGGCAGCCAGCGTCGGGCCTCCCTCCCCACCCTACCAGCTGCACCCTGAGGTAGGCACCTCTACCACCTGCATCTTGCACCAAGATCCCGTGGCCCTGCTAGGCACACACAGGTCCCCACTGGGCACACACAGGTCTGCGCCGGGCACACAGAGGTCCCTGCCCAAGGTCTGCTGGCAGACGAACAGGAGGGCACACCTCCAGCGGCCGCCAGGAGGGATGGGCCTCTGGCGCACTGGCCCGGGATAGCCCAGGAAGCCGCAGCACACACTCCATGCGCTGCCGGCACCTACACCCACCCCTCCCACAGCTTCTGTCTCTCTCACTTCCCTTCCTGCCGAGGAGAACAGTAAGGCCGCCATGGCAGGAAGCCACACACCCTCAGGCTTGGCAGGAAGAGCATACTGGTCAAAGCCCGTGGGCCTTCTGGCTGCCGTACCTCACGGCCTCCACCAACCGAAATTTAAACATAAAGAGGAAAATTAATACTAGTAGTAGGAGAAACCGGGGAGAGTTGTTTTAAATAACCATGTGTGGGGAACACCTTCCAGTACATGACACAAAATCCAGAGGCCACAGAAGGCAAGACGTCTACTCACAATTGCCGTTTCTACCTGGCTACACAGGCCACAGACAAAATCAAAAGTCAGAACGATAAACTGGGGGAGTCTATACATTATCGAGGGCTGAGTTCCCTAGTATGTAAAGAGCTCTGGCCGATCAATAAGATGGCCCCTATGCAAGCCAAGGTGAGCACAGAACACGGAATGAGAGAAAAGCGTAGCTAGGGCTTGGGAGAGGGGCTCACACGCTCACACCTAATCCGGCTGCTCTGTTTGGGCACCGCTCAGAGGCCAAGGTCAGATACACACCGGGGCACACATATGGCGACACGGACACGAGCCGGTCACAGCAGCGCTGTTTGAAGCAGGAACTGCTCGGCAACAGCTAGAATGCCCATTTGGAGAACTGGGCCAAGTGGCCTCTGCAGCTGAGCACGGAGAAAGGGGTGAGGATGCTTCCAGGAACTGAGACGGGGGTGGAGGGAGGCGACGAGGAGCAGAACAGGGCACTTGGAAGGTGTCACCTTGCACACAGAAGCGGGGACAGGCGTGTTTGCAGGGACAAGCTAGAAGGCATGACAAGGTGCGGGGTGGGGGCTCTTCACCCCAGACCCCAAAAGCTAAGCCGAAAGGCCGTTAGTGATAGCAGCAGCTTTGGGAAAACCCCTAGGAGAAAAGGGGGATGAGAGACACGTGGGAATGGGAGCCCTGGGCCGGCGTCTGGGATGGCAGGGGACAGGGTCTCCCATTTCCAGGCTGCTGCTGTGAGTGGGGGCTGGGGCCTCCCACACGCGCTGAGCAACACAGGTGGAACTGCCTGGAGGCAGCACCCACTCCGACCTGTGACGCCATGGCTGTAGGCCACAGCACCGGGCCCACAGACCTCGGGACCACCACCCACCCGCCGCCCCACGCAGGCGTACCAGCTTCCTCTGGGCGCGGTGCCACGACTCCTTGACCTCCTTCCTGAGCTTCTCATGCTCCAGCCGCCTTAGGTTCAGAGGCTGGTGCGAGATGGGCTGTGAGTGGGATCCTGGCACCCCACTCACCCACCCCCCTGGGGCACAGCCCACCCACCTGGATGAAGGTCTGGGTCTGCAGCGTGCCCACTGCCTGCACCAGGCTGTGGCCAAACTCCAGGTCCTGCTCCAGAGCCAGCGAGTAGATGGACAGGAGGGGCATGTGGGGCTGTGGGGGGGGGGCCAGTGGCCTCAGGTGTGGGGCTGGAGCAGGGGGACAGCCCTGCCACCTGTCTGGCTCCCGTGGCTGCCGTCAGCACCGCCAGAGTGGAGGTGGGAAACCCTTCCCTCTGGCCCCTGTCGGTTGGCCGAGACTCCCACCCAGGCCCGAGAGACCAGGCCCACTGCCCCCGCAGCCCGCACAGCCCCACCTCCTGCATGACGCTCTGTCTGCAATTGTGCACAATCTTCTGCAGGCCTTTGGCAAAGTCCATCTCTGCGGGCGAGAGGCATGTGAGTGGGATGTGGGACCTCCAGCCAGTCCCCCCAACACACACCACGGGGCCTCACGCCTCACCCAGCGCTGTCCGCTTCTCCAGGTAGCTGATGAGGTCCTTCATGTACTTGGCCATGTTCTTGGCATACTTCAGCGCGGCATCCACACCCCCCTCACAGCGCTGCAGGAGCGTGTCCACCTCCTCGGGGGCCAGGCAGCCTGTGGGGGGGCCTGCTTAGCCCCACCCCTGCCTGGCCTCAGCCCGCACCCCACGGTTCTCGGCCCAGCCCACTGCCAGCGGCCCAGAGACTCACCCGGGTCGCAGTCCTCGGCGCTGTGGGGCGCGCCCTCCCCACCCTGCCCATACAGGTTCTCCATGGACTGCATGGGACAGAGGCATGGGTAAGTCCAGCCCCCCTGGGCAGAAAGGAAGACCACGGACCCCAGAGGAACAGGGGTGGCTCGCCTGCCCCGCCAGCCTGGCCCACAGAACCCTCAGGCCACCCTGCTCACCTGGCTCGGGTCCCCAGGGGGCACTGACAGGAGGGTGCTGCTATCCACTTCTCCCATGAGGAGCTCAGACACGCTGCAGGGTGGGCTGGGTCAGTGCCAAGAGGCACATGGGCCCCTCATGCCCCACCCCACTCTGCGGGCCCCACACTCACGTGCTGCTGAAGGAGACGGCGATGGTCTCCAGGGCCTTCTCAAACTCCTGCTTGTCTGACTCATTGTTGCACTCGTAGTGGAAGGCTAGGAGGGGTCAACAGGACAAGGGCAGTTGGCCCACCCAGGGAGGCGACTGCCCCCTGCAACTAACTGGAGGGAGCCCTGAACCCAGGATGGGCATTGTAGCAGGTGTGCCCTTCCAACTCCTATGCATCCTTCAAAACCCACTCCAAAAGGCACCTCCTCCAGGGACGCCCTCCCAAGCAAAAAGCCCTTGCTGCCCTATACTGGATGGCTGACCTCTAATCTTGGCGATGAGGGTGCCAGCAGCCGTGAGCGTCTCCACAGTGTTCAACAGTGGGTACTTGGAGATGACCTGGCGCATCACACGTAAGGCCTCGCCCAGGCACTCGTGGGCCAGTGGCCGGCGGGCCTCAAGGAGGTCTGCCGGGCAGAGCAGGTATGAGCAGGGTGGATGGGGCCTCCTGGGCACCAGGGAGAGCCTGCCCACCTCCTCCTTGGAGCTCCTGTCCCCAGGTGGGCAAACAGGTGGAGTGGCAGCGAGCAGCTGCTTGAGTATCACTGTGGGACCCCAGGTGAGGCACAGTCCCTCTCTGAGCTGCCGTCCAGGTCAGCAAAGGCCAGACCTTGGCCTGGGCAGTCCTGCTCAGAACACTTGCCTCATCCCTCCAGAAAGCATGTCCTCAGATCACAGTGCCGCCGCCTCCAGGCAGCCCACGTGGCCCCTTCCCTGCCCCAGCCCCTCAGGGCTGCTCGAGGCTCTGTCCAGCTCCCTCCATGCCCTGCCTGCCTGGGCACTGGGCCTCGCGCGCCCGTTATCTCAGTGTCCCCTGGCAGCTATCCCACAGGGCTGGCACTGTCGCCGTCCCCACTTTGCAGATGAGGAGACCGAGGCGCAGAGAGGGGAATCCCCTTGTCAAGGATCATGAAGGTTTTCCAGTTACGCCAGCTCGGAAGCCCTGAGGAAGCAGGGCAGGTGGGCCCGCTCGGCTATATCCTGAGGGCAGCGGGGAGCCACAGGAGGTCAGAGCAAAGGAGGTTGGAGGACATGTCCCCATCTGGGCGAGCGGCTTTAAAGGCCCTCTGCAAGCGTTCCAGGGTGGAAAAAGGAGGGTGTGCGGGCAGAAGAGGCGCACAGAACAGTGCCACTTAGTGTGGACAAACCCGCTGGAGTCTGTGCTCAAAGAAGAGACCTGAAGACAGGTGCCCCCCCCCAGCACTGGGACCCCACCGAATGCCACCCGGAGACCCCCACGCGGTCCCTGGCCCGACGCTCCTCCAAGTGCTTGCCCCCATGCCAGGACTGGCACCCATTTGCTGCCTGAATCCTAGGACAACTGGATAGGACAACAGGGGCTTCAGGAATATGGAAGCCGGCCACGCGCGCCCCTTCCCGGGACAGTCCTCCAGCCGCCCCCCGCCCTCCACCAGGCCTGGCCATCAAGTGCCCTGCAGCAGGCAGGATGCCCAGAGAGCTCGGGTGTGCCCAGCTTGGACCTAGGCAGGCACTGGCTGCCGCTGTGTCCCCTGCGGCCGGCTGCAAATGCCCCAAGAGCCACGTGCTCTAGAACAGGCTGGGGTACCCTGCACCCTCACTGTCCCCTCACCTCGCGGCCCCGTGCAGCGGTGCACTGGGCCCTGGTCCAGCACTGGGTGCACCGCCCCTCAGATACACATGGCGTGGCCACGGGCATAGGACCTGAACGCGCGGGACAGGCGCCGCTGCCGCTGGCTGGGTGGTCGGGGGTGGCTAGCAGCCAAACCGGCTCTGGCCTGTCCGCAGACCCCGCCCCCTCGGGGCTAAGCCCCACCCCGGCACCCCCATTCCCTGGCCTGGGTCCTCCACTCCCCACCAGGGCGCCGAGCCTGGGACCCCAGGCAACAGGATTTTGGGTGGGGCAGCCTGAGGGCAAGCGGGGAACCTGAGGCTGAAAGCTGCAGCGCGAGGGGCAGGGAGGGGCAGGGAGGTCCGGGAGATCCCACCCCAGTCCGAGCTGAGGTCCCAAAGGCGCAGGCCCCATGACAACAGACATCTGGTTGCAGCAGGCGGGTCGCTGCGCCGTTCCACACACCACCCCTAAGGCTCCCAGAGGGCGAGGCGGCCAAGGTCCCACAGCCTGGAGGGTGGCACCAGGCCCTTCCCCCGACCCAGAGCAGAGAGGGGCGCCCTTGTGGGCGCGGCCCCGCCCAGGCGTGGTCAAGGAAGCGCAGGATGCAAAGGGAACCTTGATTAGAGTTTCCCCAGGAAACGGCCCGGGCTCGGCCCCTGGGCCCTGATAACCGCGGGCTCCCACCCGACCCCTCAGCCGCCGTGCCTCCCCCGCAGAGCCCCGCATTAGCGCCGGGAGGCGGAGGCTCTGAGGTGAGGTCGGACCTGACGCTGGCCACTCCTTGGCTGGGCCAGCAAGGTCAGGGCCCCACTCGGGGCCTCTGTGTCCTCATACGTAAGCAGGCACCTGGCACGGTGCGGGCGCTGCGGCTTTGGGAGGAGTGGCACTGCACCCGCCTGGCCGAGGTGCCAGGGACAAACAGGAAGCAGATGAAAATAACTAGGCAGGAAGCCGGGCTGTCAGCAGCCGCATGGAGGAGAAAAACGGAACTGCCATCCCAGGGCCCTCCGTCCTGCAGCTCACGCACCAATCCTGCCCCTTGTCCAGAACCCCTCTCCAGCCAGACCTCAGCTCACCTCCTGCCCGCCTAGCTCCCACTCGCAGCGCTGACCCTGTGCCCTCTGCTCTGACACCTTCTATGGCTCCCTGCGGCCCTCAGAACACCAGCCTACCGTGTGCTCACGCTGCAGCCACAGTCACTCCATTCACCAGCCACCCCAAAACTTGGTTGCCCCCAAACTCCTATACACCCCTCAGAGCCTCAGCTGCAACGGCTTCTTCCATGGAGCCCTCCGTGAGAGTCCCTTCTGTGCCTCCCCAAGTCCCTCCCTCCACCCTGCCTTGACCCCCCGGGTCTGGGACGTATCTATCTGCTCTGCCTCTGCCCGGCCTCCGTGCCCAGCACTCACCGTCATGCAGTATGCACTCCTTGAGCTTCTCAAGACCCTCGGCGAAGCGGGCCACGTCGGCCAGCAGATGGGAGATGTCCTCCACTGCGTCAGGGCAGGGCCCCTCGGTAGGCGGCTCCGCTGGGCTGGCCACTGTCATCGGGCTGCGGTGGCCCCGGCCCAGGGTCCAGGAGCTGGCACCAGAGAGTGGGAAGCCAGCAGCGCTGGCATGGCGGCTCAGGCTGGTGGGCCGCCTGAGTGTGCCCGAGGCCGCGCTCGGCAGCTCCAGACCAGGTCCGAGGGACACCGTGTCGGCCCCGTCTTTCCTGGGCAGCTCCTGCAGGACAATGTGGAGAGCTGGTAACACAGGTACCCCAGCCCAGATGCTGCCTCAGTTCCCCCCAAAAGTGAAGTGGGGCTCTGGAGGGTCTTCAGCCTGAACCCGTGGGGTCAAAGGTCAGGGGTCAGAGGGCTGAGATTTGGGGCTCTGCCCCTCCCACACCTGTTACCCAACATCCTCTGCCCCAGAGCTTTCACAAACAACCGTCTGCCCAAACCACAGCCAGGGGCGGGGCCCAAGGGGATGCGCGGGAGGGGGCACCCCACTTCCTGGTGGGGGGCAGGGAGGGCCAGGGAGGGTCCTCAGCCGCTTGGCCTCCCCATATCCTAAGTCCTGTAGACCCGGGTCTCAGGGATGCCCGCAGGCCTTGTAGAGCCCCCAGGCCCTACACCGGCGCACCTATTCTGAGCTCTGTTGCCCTGTCAATCTGGGACCCGATAGCTGGGCCAGGCGCCCATCCAGCACTGCCCCTCACCCAAACCCCTGGACCTCCCACCCTCAAGTCCCGGCCCCAATGCTCCCCTCCCTGGCAAACCCCCTCCGCTTCCCTGGACCCCATGGCCAGCCCTGGCCGGGATGGGGGATGCGGCGGCCACCCCAAAGGGCTCCTACCGTGAGCTGAACGCCGGGGTCCTGGCCGGTCCTGCGTGGCCCCCGCAGTCCAGCCAGGTGGGGGCTGTAGCTGGCATAAGCCCCCCGCCGCCGGCCCAGCATGGTGTGGCTGGGCCCCTGCCCCACAGGCCCCAAGTGCGGGGCGCACCCTTATCTCCCCTGCCGCCCAAGTGTGGCTCTGAGGTCCCCAGCCGCTCCCTGCCCCTGCGAGGCAGACTCACCCCCAAGGGCTGTGGGCTGGGGCTTCCCGCCCGGTTCTTTTTTGAGATAGAAGGGGTTTTCATGAGCTCCCTTTTCTTCCTGGAGAACATGGTGCGGCCAGGCCAAGAGCCCGCGGGGGGCGGCCCGGGGCCGGCAGTCTGGGGGTCTCAGCAGCGCAGCAGACAGCGCCGGCGGCCTCCGGTCCACATTGTCGCCAGCCACCCCCTCCCCAGCTGTCAGGCCCACGTGACAGGCCCAGCCCTCATTGGCGTGCCCTCCCCCCCACAGGAAAAGGCTGCCGGAGGTGGTGACGCAGACCCGCCCCCCACCTTCCCTGGCCTCAGCCTGCCCCTCTGCAGAGTGGGCTTCAAGGTGGGGCTCCAGGCCCCGCCCCCAGCTCCAGGCCCCGCCCCAGCTTCCGCTTTCAGGAAGCCTGCGTGTGTCAGATGGGGCACCCACCCGTGCTGACACTGGCGGGGCCCCCCCCCCCCCATCCCCGGCGGCGCAGGGCAGGCACATGGCAACCGGCTGCAGAGGCGCTGACCCTCACTCAGACACAACCAGGTGTGCAGACACGCAGGGACAGACCTGGACATGCGCTCTGACAGTATGAAGCCCCACAAATGAAACGCTGACCCTGACGCACAGGTTGGCTCTCAGACTCCAGGCACGACACCCGCGCTCCAAGCCTCGGCCTCCTGGGCGTGCCCGCCCTGCGTCCTCTGTGGACTCCAGGGCCTGGGCAGCACAGGGCACGGCGGGCCACCTCCGAATCTGCAACCGCCCTTCCCCTTCCTACATTCCGGGGACACACGCGACCCGCCACGGGTCGTGCTGGGCGTGAGCTCTGACAACAGCGCTGCCAATAACATGCCTGAGGCCGCCACCCCGCCTCTGAGGTGTACAGACCCCTCCCCTCCTCCACGACGCCTCTTCCCCGGAGCCCCCAGGCTGAGCCCCCTCCCGGCCCCAAAGTCAGAAACCCTTCACCTCCCCCAACCGACCCCCACTGACCTCGGGAGAGAGGAATGGGTCTCTAGGACGCAGGGCACGCAAGCCACAGCCCCTCGAGCCAAACCTGCCGCTCCGGACAGGGCAAACCCAGCCCAGAAGGCCCTTGAGGATCCCCTGTCCGCTGCTCATTGCTCTGGGGGCCGGGATCACCTCCTCTAGGCTGCCTGGGCATCCCTGGGCCCTGACCTCACAGGGGCCCACATGGGCACTCAAGGGCCAGGGCCAGTGTCCAGGCTGTTATGAAGGCTACCTTGCATATGTGGCCCCCAAGAAGCGCCCCCCACTGAGGCCTCCGTAGCTGGGGGTCCAGCTGACTGGAGCCGCGTTGACTTTCCCCTACAAATTGCCTCCGCCTCCACAAAGCCGGGGGGTGCACTACACTTGGGACAGGGGCCTGTGTCCAGGTGTGCAGAGAGCCGCGTGGGGGCAGCAGGCGGGCAGCCCGGGGAACGGACATACGTGCACATGACTTCACACCATGACTGCTTCTCTTTATTTCCCCCAGGGTGGTGGACCCTCTGGGGGCCTGGGTCCCAGCTGCAGCCCCTCCCCCCTGCCCTGGTCACTCCCAGGACCTCCCACCAGGCCCACAGGCTCAGAGCACCGACTCGGCGGAGCTGGGGTCGTCCAGGAAGCGAGCGACAAGGCGGGGGCGCTGCGGGCCTGGAACAGGGTCTGCCTCCACTCCGGTCTCCTGCTCCTCCTCCCCCTGGTCCTTACAGAAATACAGGAACACCTGTCCGGCGCGGGCCGCCAGAGGGGCGGAGAGGTCAGCGGAGGGGCGGAGAGGTCAGCGGAGGGCCGGCCCCCCCGCCCCGCCCCCGCCCCGCCCCGGCGCTGCCGCCACCTCCTCCAGCGTCGTCTGGCTCACGGAGAAGTCCTCCACGCCGTGCTCCGCCCCATGCGCCGCCAGCTCTCCGAAGACGCGCGCCAAGGCGCAGCGCCCTCCCGGAGGCAGCTGGAAGCGCAGGCGGCTGCCGTGCGCCTCCCGCAGCTCAGCGCCTGGGAACGCCGCCGCCACGAAGGCCGCCGCCGACTCGGGCTGCGCCGCGGGCACCCGCAGGGTCAGCGTGTGACCAGCCCCAAACCTGGGTAAAGGGGACGGGGCTACTGGACGAGCCCCGGGCTCGCCCCGGCCCGCACCACCCTCCTGCTGTCTCAGGCCGACCCCTACCCGACACGTGCGACCCCGCCCCCTGCTCCGACCACGCCTCCCAAGGCCCGCCCACTCCCCGGACCCCCCGGACCTCTGCTCCTGGACCCACCCTCACCCGTCAGACCCCAGCCCCTCATCCGTCGCTCCGGGCGCCCGTGGCCCCCCTACCCCCGATCAGAGCCGAGGTGACCCCCCCAGCCCCCACCTCGCGCCGCACTCTCCCCCTGCCCCCGCCTGGCACGAGCCCCGCGGCCGCGGCCTCTCACCTGCCCTTGAGGCGCTGCGGGCTGCCCAGGCAGCGGAACCGGCCGTTCACCACGACGGCCAGGCGCGTGCAGAGCGCCTCACACTCCTCCATGCTGCGAGGCGAGCGCAGAGCTCCGGCCGGGCTGAACCGCTCTGCGCCACGCGGGCCAGGACCCTCACCCCCGGGCCCGGACCACTACCACCCTGGACACTTCCTGCCTGGCCCGGACCGCTCCGGTCCAGCCGCCGGTACCCCCGCGGGGCCGGCATCCTCCCTCCCGGGTCAGGACCACCCATGCCCTGAGACCCTGCGCTCTGACAGCCCTTCCCCCGCAGCCTGCCCCCCGAACACCCCCCCCCGGGCATCCGGCGCGAGGCGCACCTGTGCGAGGTGAGCACCACGGAGCCGCCCGCCCGCACCACGGCCAGGAGGCTGTTCCAGAGAAAGCGCCGCGCGCCGGGGTCCATGCCTGTGGTTGGCTCGTCCTGGGAGGGCAGATACCCTGAGCCCCGCCTCGGCCCCGGCCCGCCCCCTCACCCCAGGCCCCGCCTCACGCACCAGAAAGACCACCTCCGGGTCCCCCACCAGCGCCACGGCTGTCGCCAGCTTCCGCTTGTTGCCGCCGCTGTAGGTGCCTGCGAGCCGGTCCGCGAACTGCCGGAGCCCCAGGCGCGCCAGGCCCGAGCTCGCGGTCTGCGGGGCCAAGCGCATGGGGCACAGTGTTGGGCAGCGAGGAGAGAAGATGGGGGCGGAGTGGGGGCGGGTAGAGCCCAGCCAGGGGGAGTCCAGGAGGGAAGAGGTGGGTGCAGCCTCCGTGAAGGTGGGGAGGGGCGGCAACCCACGCGGGTGTGGGAGGTGTGGGGGGCGCGGCAGGGGCAGAGAAGGTGCACCCGGACCCTGTGATCCCAAGCCTTGGAGAGTGCGGGCGGGGGATCACCTGGGCCACCTGGTCCTCCGGGACACCACGCAGGCGCGCGAACAGCTCCAGGTGCTCACGACCAGTCAGCAGGTGGAAAATGGCATCCGACTGAGGGCAGTAGCCCATGCAGCGGTGTGCAGCGGCTGGTTCCCGGGCCACACTGGGAATGGGCATAGGTGCTTAGGGAACTGGCCACCATCTGGGGAAACAGGCCCCAGGGCCCACCCCACCCACCCACCCACCCACCCACCATCTGTGGAAACAGGCCCCAGGGCCCACCCCCGGGCCACCCCCCCACACTCCCCCAGACCACTCTGCTAGGGACGGGGGTGTCTCAGGGCAGGGCCCATGTGCAGGAGCTCAGGTCCAGCTCCACCTGCTGCCGAGGAACTGTCCCCACCTGGAGTCCCCTCACCTGTGGCCTGCCAGCACCACCTCGCCCCCACTGGGCAGCATGTCCCCGGTCACCATACGAAATGTGGATGTCTTCCCTGCTCCGTTCACGCCCAGCAGCCCGAAACACTGGGGGTACAGGGTACAGGGTGCAGGGTACACCCACAGACAACACTCAGCAAGGCTTCAGATCCTTGTCCCAGTGTTTGCTTCCTGGGACTGGTTTCTAAGTTTCTGCATGGAGATCTGTGGGCAGGGGACCCCTGGGACAGATACTGGGGGCATGTAGCATAAAGCTGCTACTTAGCAGGCAATGGCTGTTGGCACAGGAGATGTATTTAACCAACCCTGGTATAGCGGGTATCCTATAAAGGGCAAACACAGCAAGTGCTCCATAAATATCAGGGCACAAGACCTCTAAATGTTTCCTGCCACAAGGTGGTACCCAAGGAACAATGCCACCCTGTCCACCTAACAGACATGGTGGAGAGGTCGGCCAGTACATGACACGCCTGGTGAAGGTTCCTGGCACATGTGTGAGGACCCAGGAGGTACTCCCTCTGTCATAAACGTGCTCATCCTCAGTAGGGGCTAATACCTTACTGTGCCCATTAAGGCTCAGTAAATGTAAGCGTGCAGTAGGTGCTTAACAAGAGTTGCTCAAAATAGGAACTCAAATGTTGACAACCATTCATTACTCAATAAAGGGCATCAAGGGGCATAGTAGGTGTTGCACAAAGGGTGGTAGCACACAGAAGGGCAGGGCAAACAGTAGGGCAGCCTCTCACTGCCCCATGCACCAGGACCTCCACCCCAGACTCACCTCACCAGGGGGGATCCCCAGGCACAAGCGGTCAACAGCTGGTGTCCTCTGCTCATGGTAAACCTAGGAGGAGTGCAGGACCCTGAGCAAGGTCAGTGGGCCAGTGGGGGTCCCCACACCCAGCACTCTGTACCCACCTTGGTCAGGTCCCTCAGCACCAACACATCCCCCTGGGTGGCCCCTTGGACCACCCGTTGCCGCTCACGGGCCACATCCTCCTCCTCTTCCCCCAGCGGGGGCAGTGGCCTCAGCTTGGGTCTGAAGACAGACAAGAGTGGGCACCAAGCCAGACCCCAGGTCCTGCCACCCTCACCCGGTCCCCACTGACTGCGGCAGGAGGCAGTTACGGTACTGCAGCAGGAGCGTGAAGAGGAGGAAAAGAGGCCCCTGTACCACCATGGCCAAGAGGTTCTTGCCAACCACCTCCCAGCGCAGGGGAGATTGGAACTGTCTTTCTCCTGTAGGGATAGGAAAGAGGGGCCGGGTCCTCATGGAGGGCTTGGTTCTGAGCGCCTCCCCATCCAGGTCACCTTGAGTTCTTACGGGAAAGGACCAAGAAATGGATAAGCCACTTAATTGGAGTCTAGCTAGAATAGAAAATTGGTATCACCACCTCCCTTACTTGGGGCCTTAGACCTTTTGTGATGTGACCCAAGATGGAATTAGCTTTTACGGCCACTTTGCTACACCTCTAACTTGGCAGAAACTTGTGGCCACTTAAGAATTCCACATCTCTTCCTGGAGGCTGCTGTTTGGTCCTTGCCCTGTATGACCGATTCTTGGCTAGCACTTCCCTACACGGAGGGAAGTTCTCACCCAAGCGCTCAAAGGCGTCCGCCATGGCCTGGTTCCGCACCATGTCAATGAGCCCCCGGCCCAGGCAGAAGTGAGGGAAGATAAGGAAGACCTGTTTTAGGATCCGGCTCACCTCCTTCAGCTTCTGCTCAAAGGCAAGAAGAGGGAGATGGGTCAGGGGCCAAGGCCTATGCCACGACCAGCCCCAGCCCGAGGCAGTCGCGTGGGGCCCACCTGATCAGAGAAGAGCTCAAGCACGAAGGTGGCCATGCTGCCGTTGATGCCAATAAAGAGGTTGACACAGGTGAGCACCACGTAGGCGGTGCTGGGCACGGAGAAGAGGAAGGAGGCTGGGTACATGAGCGGCGTGATAGACCACCTGAGGGCGACAGGGTCGCCAGGTAACCACTCAGACGGGTCCGAGGGGCGCTGAGAGGAACGCAGGCCTGCCCGCCCATCTTCTCTGCTCTAGTCCTCTATGTACGTGAGTCAGGACCAACTGAGCTTTTAAGGCCACCTCGGCGCACTGGCGGATTGAATCGCGCTCGGGGGTCACCTCATTCATACCCTCTCCCTGAGAGCTGTTATGGGGCCCCACCTCCCTCAACAGCATCGGGTGGGGAGGGGCGGGCAGTAGGCACAGGCTCTGAGGAGCTGAGAGGCTCACCCATACAGCAGAAGCAGGAGCAACAGGGCGGGCAGGTTGGCAGGGGCCACGTATGCCCTCTGCTGGAAGGCCAGGAAGGTGAGCGCCACGATGCACGCCGGCACCAAGTAGTGACACTGCATTGGCGATGGCAGTGACCCCCGTCAGTGTGCTGGTGTGAGAACTGCCATCCTCAGCCCTGCGCCCCATCCCGACCTCCCTGTATTTTGGTAGCAGGACACACGGTTTCCCACAATCCCTAAGATTTTACCCAGGCCATCCTGGACAGATGCCTGTGAGAACGGGCCGGAAGGGGATGGGGAGAGCGGCAACTGGGCCCCCACCCCTCGGGGCAGCCCCCGCACCATGTCCCAGAGAAAGTTGCTGAGCCAGTAGAGAGTGGGGGACAGGCCCCCCATGAACTGCAGGTGTTTGGCCCCAGTGACGCGCTCCTCAATGAGGATGAGGGTGAAGCTGGCTGGGACGAAGGACATTGCGAAGACCACGCAGATGGAGACAAGCACGTCCACTGAAGAGGCCAACCTGCGGGTGAGGGCGTGAGCTGCTCAGAGCAGAGCTGGTTGTGCTGTTGACAGGCTGGAGGGGTCCGGGTGGGCTGGTGGGGGAGACGGCCTGAGCCGTTTAGGGAGGAGGGTGGCGGGGTTGTCTGGCAGGGACAGGGGTACAGGTCTCTGGTAGGATAAAGGTGGATGTGATGAGGATGTGCGGCTACTCAGGGGGGCCTGGAGGCCCTTGCGCCTGACGCTGTCCCATATCCCTGGCCTGGGGAGCGAGGGGGCAGTTCCTGGTTCCCACTCACACAAGGGAGCATGGCCGAGTGCAGCTCCAGCTTCCCCCACCCACAAGGACAGATCATCCGAGGTGGGGAGGACCCGTCGGACAGAGGGACTCACAGCTTGGCCTCGGACAGCTGCTCCTTGGTGAGGTTCAGGGGATGGTTGAGTGTGGTGATGCTGTGGGCACGGTGGGCGGGGCCTGGAGGCAGGCGGGCATGTAGGAGTGCGTTGTTGGCCCGATTGACGAAGGCCACCATGGCGTGCCAGCCCTTGTTGTTGAACCAGATCTGGGGTGGGGGTCAAGGCCCTGGAGTCAAGCTGAGGGGTCAGGGCAAGGGGGTCCGACCTGTCCCCAGCAGCACCTGCCTGCTACCCCCCACTTCCCACCTTGAGGCTGTCCTGAGCGTCCAGGCTGTGGGCCCACGCTGTGAGATTGTTCAGGAGGCGGTCGAGGGCCCCACCAGGCTGCGGGCTCAGCAGTGCCCGTAGCTGCTCCACAGAGCGGCCTACCTCACTCCCCGAGGGCAGGGGTGAGTCTTGGCCCCCCAGGGAGAAGCCCCCATACCTGTATGGAGGCAGCGGGGGCCACTGAGGGCCGGGGAGGACGGGGTGGGCGAGCCCCCCGTGGGCGGGCAGAGGGTGTGCAGACGGAGCCCAGGGCAGCAGGCTCTGCTCACCTGACCTCGTCCACCCACTTCTTGGTCTTCAGGCTGTGGGAGGGGTGGGCAGAAAGGCAGAGACGCAGAGGCGTGTGAGAAACAGATGCTGGGGGTCGGGTGAGACAAATAAAAAGGGGTGAGGCGTGGAGGGTGCTCGGGAGCCCCAGCCCGGGTCTCCACTCAGGCCTCCTTCACGAGTGCACCACCCGGGGACCCACAGTACAGCCAGGCGAGCCGAGTCGGGATAGCAGCTCACCCCTGGTGCACCAGGCGCGGGTACGTCTTGACCAGGAAGTCAGACAGGTTCCGGCCTGTTAGATTCTGCACCACCTCTCCGGAGCTGGTCAGCGCCTGGGGTGGCGGGGGGCCGCCGGCCGCAGTGGGGCAGTTGGGCAGCAGGCGCCGGGCACCTGGCCGGCTGCACTGGCAGGCTGGGGACGGAGAATCCGGGGTCCAGTTGCCACTGGCCAAGACCCGAGCCACATCTGCAGGAACCTCGGGCACTGAGAACTGGCAGGTGGTGGGCTGTGTGCCCTCGTGTGCCCTGTGGAGGGAGGGCAGGAGCGGGGGCAGGGCCATGGATGCGGGCTTCTGGGGGCCCCCAGGATGTAGCGAAGGCTCCCAACTCCCAAGCAGGAGTGGGGCATGCTGCGTACACCCTGAGACCCACTGGGCAGGGCACAGATAGGGACACTGAGGCCCAGGCTAGAGGGCCCTCACCTGTTGGAGCTATTCTGTGGGTGAGGCTCCCCCAGTCCTGCCTCCTCCAACAGCATCTCCAGCAGGTGGGCACGTTCAGGGTCCCCAGGGGCATCATCGCTGTGTGTAGGGTGCAAGGTCAGGGCTATGCCCACAGGCCCCTGGCCCTCCCACCTCCAGCCCCCCACCCTCTGTGCTCACCTGAAGAAGGACACTTGGGCACCATACATGCTGGGGCTGAGCCGCAGAGCCGGGTAGTACCCAAAGGGCGGCACAATGAGGCTGAACACCAGTGCCAGGCCCACAAAGAGGGCAGGCAGCACGATCTGAAGAACCGGCCCGTCAGCCACACACCCCGCCCGCCCTCTGGGTCTGTGCACCCTTCCCTGCTCTAAACCTCCCCGGCTCCCCAGTACTCTGGGTAAAGGTGTGTGAGGTGGGCATGCAGCTGGGGGCCATGCAGTTGAGTGAGGTCATTGAGGGGTTGCCTGGAGTGGAGAATAGGGCCCCAGGACCACAGCCCACAACGCGCCCCACACACCATCCCTGCGGCCTGGCACCCCTCACCTGTGCAAATAGGCCCCGGCAGTTGCGGCGGGCAAGCAGAAAGCGCTTGAGAAGCAGGGCCCGGAGCTGTTGGTACGTCAGCGCCCAGCCCTGCACCCGGCCTGTGGCGTCCAGCCTAGAGCCCTGTAGGACCTGTGTCTCTGGGGCAGACCCAGCTGTGGGGGACAGGAGGGTCAGTGCTCACTCTGTGGGTACCTGAGGGGCTGCAGGGCCACTGGGCCAGGGGAGGGGGCGACTCACCGGGCTCCCCATTCTCCAGGGCTGGCGCCTCTGGCAGGACTGTGAGCCGTGGGGTCGCATCTTGGTGAGCAATTCCTAAGCATGGGTACAGCATGTGGCTACCGTCTGTAGGGCCATCAGGGGTCGGGGTCGGGGTCAGAGGTTACTATCCAGCTCGGGGTTTGAGTTAAGGCCAAGGATCACAGATGAATGGGAACCAAGGACGGAGGTCAAGGCTATGCCTTGGGCCAGACTCCACCAGGGGTAGGGACTTGGTCTAAGCCAGGTCCTAGTCTGGCTCAGGTTAGGGGTCAAGGGCAGGCACCTGCAGCTGTCTTCCCTGGGTCTGTGTCCACAGCACAGTCTTGGGCCACCTTCAGGAAGATCTGGGGAGACAAAGCAGGGGGCTCAGAGCCTGGGCCCCTCAGGAGGGAGCCAGGGACTCGAGAGCCACCCACTCTGGGTCCCCCGTCAATCACAAACTCCCCTCCTCCCTCCCAGCACCACCTGCTCCAAGCGGCCCTCCCCCAGCAGCACCTCCTCCAGGCTGGTGTCAGAGATGCCGTAGCCCGCTAGCCCCAGCTCCCCCAGACGCAGGTCCAGTTCACAGAAGAGCTTGGCGAAGCTGCCATCCAGGGCGCCCCCGTAGGGCAGTGCCAGCACCAGCTCGTGGGGCAGCTCCTCAACCAGCCAGGCACTGGGCACCCAGTGCCTCACCAGGGCCAGCAGCTGGGCCACACCTGGGTGGGCAGCCCCGAGAGTCAGTGTCCCGGTGGGGTGGACGGCCCCAATCCCACCCTGCCCCTACCATTCCAGTCCCATGGGCGAGGGGCTCCCTCCAGGAGGTCGGGGGTCAGCACGAGGCAGGACTTGACCTGGGGTCAGACCCAGCATTTACCAGGCCTCAGAGGTCAGGGGTAGGTTTGTGTGTGAGCTCAGGCGGGTTGGGTTAAAGGTAGGGACCAGAATTCAGGTTCAACTCAAAGTCAGAGGACCGGTCTGGGGTCACAAAGCCCTGTTGCCCTGAGCCACCCCCCGGGCCCCTCTGCCCCTCCCACCGAGCCCTCACCAGCCCTGCTTCCTGGCTCTCTCTGCTGCCCGGCATCCACATGGTCCTCCAAGTGAGCATAACCCTGCAGGCAGAGGGCACCAACTGCTATGGCCAGCTGGGCGGGGCGGAACCTTGGGGGTCAGAGGTCATCTTCAGTCCTTACCTGCTTGCCAGCAGCCAGGAGTGGGACACCCTTCACCAGGGTCAGATAGTACCCACAGCCCATGTGGCGACGCAGGAAGAGTGGGGATCCACAGCAGCACAAGCGGCCACCCGCCACCACTGCCACCCGGTCTCCCAGCAGCTCCGCCTCATCCAGGTGGTGGGTGGAGAGGATCAAGGTGCGACCTGGGTACAGAGACCCAACCCACATGTACTGTCAGGCCATAGGGCCATTGCCCAAGCTGGGGCCTCTGCCAGGAAATGCCCACCCCATGTAGCAAACTCCTATTTATCCCTCAAAACCCCATCCTCAGCACCTCCTTGCCTGGAACCTTTCCTGGCTCCTCAAGCAGAACTGAGGGGAACCTTGAGCCCCCCCCAACTCTCACCTTCCCGGTATTTGAGCAGGAGATCCCAAATGCCACGGCGGGAAGCGGGGTCCACACCAGCTGTTGGCTCATCCAGGATAACTACCCGGGAGCCCCCCACAAAGGCAATGGCCACAGAGAGCTTCCGCTGCATGCCACCTGGGTGGGGACAGAGGCTGGGATCTCAGCACGATCCTCCCCCGTCTCGGACGGGGTGCCTCTCCTCTGCATACCAGCTGCCCCACCCACCCAGACCTCAAGCCTGGCCCCTTCTGGGTTCCCCCAGTATCTGCCGGTGTCCTCTGGCTTCCCACCACCCTTCAGTTGAAGTCAGCCCCCTCCCCAGTCTCATCTCCGCCAGCCTGCAGCCCCCTCCCCAGGCCGGGCTCACCGGAGAGGTGGCGCGTCTGTGCACAGCGCTTGCGGACGAGCCCCACGTCCTGCAGAAGCCGGTCCTGCTCAGGGACCACAGCAGCGGCACTCAGACCCTTCAGCCGCCCGTAGAACCACACGTGCTCATCCACAGTCAGCCTGCAGCCACAGGCAAAACCAGCGATCACCACAGCAATCAGGGTCCCAGAGAACACCCAGCCCCTCCCAGGCCTGCCGAGACGCACATGTCAAACAGCACGTTGTACTGTGGGCAGATGCCCAGGTGAGGCCGGATGGCCGCCATGCTGGACTGGACATTGTGGCCCAGGATGTACGCAGAGCCCCCAGTCGGGGGGAAGAGGCCGCTCAGGATGGACCTGGGGGTGTAGAGATCTCAGGGCAGCTGCTGCTTCAGGGAGGTTGAGGGGGGGGCGCAGGAATTGAGGCTCCCAGAGAAAGGACACCAGCACTAAAACACTAAAAGACCACTTTCTGTGTGCTCAGACCAGAGGGGTGTTAGGTCCCCATTTTACAGAGAAGGGGAACAGGCTTAGAGGAAGCACTAACTGCCGACCTGCTCCACACCCAAAGAGAACTGGGTTCCCCCCACTGTAGAGACGGGGCCCCCCAAGCCCATCTCTCCCACGGGACGGTAAGCTGAGGCCCGGGAGAAATGGGGCAACCGCTCACAATGTGGTGGTCTTGCCGGCCCCGTTGTGGCCCAGGAAGGCGGTGATCTGGCCCTGGTAGAAGTCCAGGCTGAGCCCGCGCAGGGCTGGCTGTGGGTTGCTGGGGAAGTGCTTTTCCAGGCCCCGCACGGACACCCCAGGAATCAGGCCAGGAGGGGCCCCCTCCACCAACACTGTGGAAGAGGACAGACTCAACTGTGGGAGCCCTTGGGGGACCCCCAGACCTGAGAGGCCTCTATAGCTGCTCTGTGGTGTTGGGCACCGACCGTGTTGGGGTCTCTAGGAGTTGGGGTGCTACAGGGGGTCTGGAGTATCCAGAGGAGTGGGACCTATGGAAACCTGGGTTTTTGGGGGGCCTGGGGGACCAAGACGGGGCAGCGGCTATTAAAGCTTCTTGGGTCTTACCCTCTGGGTCCTGCGGGGCAGGGGGTGGGGCAGGACACTTGGGTGGCCGAGGCCCAAACCAGTAGCTCCTCCGAAAGGGAAAATCCCACGGTTCGGGGATACCGTACTGGCCTGGGGGGAGCAGAGCTCAGTTACCCTTCAAGCCTGTCCCCTGAAGTGTGCCGGTTTCTGGCCTCATGCCTGGGATCAGGGCATCCAGGGCAACCCTGCCCACCTGTCCCAGACCACCTGAGCCCAGGTGCCACAAAACCCCACCCTCTCACCTAGGACCGTGTCCAGGTACCAAACACTCTTCGGCCCCGCGCCACCCCTCAGGCCAGCCTCCCTTATGCAGGTGCACCCCAAGACCAGCATCCCTACACCTACAGCCCACCTGGGCACACGGCCTCCAGGTACCAAGTGGCCAGGCCGTAAAGCACGGCATCGAGCAGCAGAAGGCCTGAGACCTGGGCCAGGCTGAAGACATCAGCCGCAGGCCCGGTGCCCATGTTGTACCACTGTGCGCCCTCGCCCTGCTCCTCCAGCAGTGCCAGGCTCTCACAGCCGAAGCCGAAGGCCACGGGGGACAGCAGGCTCTGCGGGTGCAGGCAGGTGGGTCAGTGAGGGGGTGCAGCTGAGGGGGGTCCACCCTGTCCCGGGCCGGCTCTCACCACGGCCACGCGGCCACCCACAGGCAGCTGGTCGCGCCAGGCCACGCAAAGTACGTAGGGCAGATAGAGCACAAAGTAGGCAAGGCCCCCGCAGGCAGCTGCCAGGTTGGCACGGGAGAAGAAGGCACTCAGTAGGAAGCTCTGTGCCACCGTGGCCACAGCGAAAGCTGCCAAGAACATGAAGACCACGACCGGGTGGCTGTAGGGAAGGATGTCCCCGAGCTGCGGGAGGCAAAGGGAGCCCGGGTCAGGGGCCTCCAGCCCACGCTGCAGGCAGCGAGGCTGGGGCGCGCTCACCTTGAGCGCCAGAAGCAGCAGCACGGTGCTGAGGAGGAAGGGCCCCAGGCAACTGAGGAACCAGCTGACCCACAGCACCAGGCCGCTGAGCCCCATGGCGCGCATGGTGCAGCGCAGCCGCGTCTCCTTCTCGCGCACCACGGCCTTCACCGTCAGCGCCACCGAGTAGATCCAGGCCAGCGTCAGGAAGAGCGGCAGCGACCGGCTCAGCACGCGCAGGAACCTGGGGCAGGGGGCGGCTGGGGTGTGGGACGGAGACCCCGTGCAGCCCCCAGCCGGCTGCGTGGTCGGCGCCGCGGGACCCCAGGGCGCAGCCAGCCGGGGACTTTCGCCTTCCCTTACCTTGGACCCCGTGCCAGCCTCGGGCCCCGTCTATCAGCACAGACCACCTTCTCCCTGCGCTAGGAGACCCCAGACTCGTGGGCTCCCCGCTCCTCCCGCGGTGGGTCACAGGGAGCCGTCCCTCCAAGTCAAGGTTCACAGCCTTGACTTCACGAATGTTCCAAACGGAACGCGGGTCCCTCCCTGAGGCCTGGGACACTGCGGCGGGGCGAAAAAGTGGGGAGAAGGTGCTCACGCGTCGTCCACGTAGCACGGGTAGGGCATCTGCTGCAGGTACAGGGCGGCGCGCGGCGTGGAGCCGCTGAGCACGTGCACGGCCGCGCGCTCCAGCAGGTCCTGCAGGTACACGAAGCCACCCCACACGTACCGCAGGTCCATCAGGGGATCAGCGGCCGGACCGGGGTCCCAGAACCTGCAAGGGTCAGCGGGGTCGGTGGCAGGGTGCAGCCGAAAACTGTCAGAAGCCCATCCATCACAGCTGTAGCTGCGGGAGCGTGCTAGCTTGGGCACGCCCACCGAGGCACTGGCCACGCCCTCACACCCTAGGCCCTCCCACCACGGACCCCAATTGGTGTAAGGAATCCCAGTCTCCGCCTATCCTGGGCTTCGATAGGTGAGATGCCGGGGCTCCGCCCCACGCGGCCACCCCCCCGACCCCCCCACCTGTCCCTGATCTTATTGGTCCTCGTGACGTCATCGATGTCCATGCGGATCTTAATGCGAACGTGCCCAGGTTCTAGGAAGTACGCGGGGTCCGCGGGGTCCGCGGGGTCCGCGGCGTCCGCAGGCCCCAGGACGACGACGCCGGCCCAGAAACGGCGCTCAGCGAGCAGCTCCATCGCGCGCGCCACCAGGGCCGCCTCGGAGGGCGCTGCCTCCAGCTTGTCCAGGTTCACGCACTGGGGAGGGGCCCGGGTTTGGGTCTGAGGCACTCGGGTCCTCCCCTGGCCCCCCAGGTTCAGCCTTGTCCTTCTCAGGCCCCAGGGAGGGGTGGGCTCCCATGAGACCTCTGCAGGGCCCCAGAAGTCTCCTCCCTCTTCGGGCTCTCCCTGGCACAGGGCTCCGCCCCTCTTTGGGTCCCCAGGGAAGGGCTCGTCTCCCCACTTGGGTCACCGGGTTAGGCTCCTCTGACAATGCCCCGAGTGGACGGTCCCTCACCTCCATCACACGGCCCAGCATGCCCACCAGGTGCCCCACTTCAGCGTGGGCCTCCTGCCAGCTGTAGTCGCTCCCGAGGGGGTCCAGAAAGGCTTGAAGGGCCTGGATCCAGTCCTGGCCTCTGGGCCCCGGTCGCCTCCTTCCTTTGACCTGAATTTGCAGGAGCCTCTGGGGCGCAGCAGGGGAGGGAGGGTGGGGATCTGCCTTGTCACCCCTCTTCCCATTCCTGGGGCCTGTCCTCGCCGTGGATTCCGCGTCCCACCGCCACACCCGTGGCCAGGAGGCCCTGCCCTGCCCTTTGCCCAAATCCCCAGCTGAGGGTAATATGCCCCAAGAGGCTGAGGATGACTCTGCTGCATTCCCACTGGCCACCCCGCCCAGGACTCCTCCCCTGCAGCAGGCCCCGCCCCCCCGCAGTACGCCCTCACCTACTGAAGGGCCCCCCTCCTGCGTCATGGGGCACCCCCCACCCCTCACCTGCAGCCTGGCCACATTTGCACTGTTATTCATGAAGGTGAAGAGCTGAGGTCCCAACACTTCCCACACCTCCTGTATGTCCTTCAGCAGAGCCAGCTCTTGGAAGGTCTGGTTCACCTGTGGGAGGTGGGCCTCAAGGCCTGGCCCACCTGTTCCTGCCCTTCCACTCCTCTGAGCACCCCTGCCCACCTCTCCTGCCTCCACTTCGCTCCATCCTGTGCCTCTGAGCGCTGGCACACACTGGTCCCTCTGCCTGCAACCTGGCACACTCCCATCTCTTCAAAACCCTGCTTCCATGACCCATCCCAGAAAGCCTCCCCCTGGCCTGGCCGTCCCCCACTTGGGCTGAGGGAGGGACCCTGGACCCCTACAGCCCTCACCTTGGCCATGAGCTGCCGAGTGAATGGTGTGTCGGGGGCAAACAGCAGTTTCCCCAGGACCAGCGGCTTCAGGCGCCTCCAGAGCAGGCGGGACATTGGGTGGGTGTCCAGGGCCCCCATCAGCTCAGTGCAGGCAGGGCCTGGTGGGGGGGACATGCCATGAGGCCCTGTCCCCAGGCCCACCTCCCCACCTCCCAGGCTGGGAATGCAGGCCAGTCACTCACTGAGGCCCCTGTTGGGTAGGGCTGGCTCCAGCTCCTGCCCCACCAGCTCCTTCAGTTCGCTGGCCTCATACCAGCTGAAAGAGAGACCTCCAGGGACACTGGGCCCTGTGGCACTGCAGAGGACTTCAGACACAGCCTCGAGGGGGCTCCCTGTCCCTCGGGGTCTCTGCAGCAGTGCCCGCAGCTCTGCCAGGCTGGGTAGTGCCAGGAGCTGGAGACAAGTCACCAGAGGACACTAGCAGTCCCCCCTTCTGCACATTCCCCTCGCCAAGAGCAACTTCTTCCTCCTTCAAGCCCAAAGCCCCCAAAAAACATGCCCAGAGGAAGTGTCTGAGGCTACCCTGTCCCCTCCCCCAGCCAGGCACCTGCCCCTACAGACTCTTGGCCGGGGGTGGAGATTGGCAGGCCTCTCACCTCCTGGGCCAGGTCCTTGGCAGCCTCCACAAAGCTGCCCATGGACTTCTGGGCTTGGCCCGACACAGACCCCAGGGATTCCTGGGAGAAAGACAAGGGCTGACAGTGACCTTGACTAAGTTTTCAGTAGGAGTCAAGCATTTGCCATGGACCCAATTTTTCAAGTAGGAAAACAGAGACTCTGAGAAGCACATGGAATTCTTCAAGGTCTCACGGGCTGAAGACTTTACCACCACACAAGACACAGCCTGTTTGGGGACCAATAGGACAGGGAATGGCACTCCTGGCACCAGGGACAGGCCAGGCAGAGGTCAGGGGGCTGGAACCAGCACTCCCAGGAGGGCAGGCACCGGCCTAGGATGGGGCACTCTGGGACTTCCTGAGAAGTCCAAGGCTGGTCTCACCCCTTGAAGCATAGTCCCCAGCACCTCGGTAGCCAGGGGTGGTCCCTCCTGTGGCTGGTCGCTAGGCTGAGGCCAGGCTGGGAGAGGAACACATAGGAGCGCAGCTTAGGCAGAGCTTGGCCTGAGACACCCCCTGCCCCAGGCCCATTGCACAGCCAGGCAGGTGGAGGCCCAGAGCTCAGCTCTGCCAGCTGATGGCTCCCTCCTCACCTGCTCCCTGGGCAGCCCTCAGCGTGGGCATCAGCTTTCCAAGGCTGGTCAGCATCCTGTGGGCACTGGGGCCCCCCAGGATAGTGCGGGCATCTGCCAGGAGCCGGGAGACCCTGGGAACAAAGATGGCGGGAGGTGGAGGCTTGGGCGAGCACCCCGGCGCCTGGCCCCACCCACTGTGTATGCTCACAGGGAGCTGTTGAAGTTGCTGAGCACTCCAGGCTCCTCGCCGGGGGTGGGGTGTGGGAAGCAGGTGTTGTTCATGTTGCAGATGAGACCCTGTAGCCAAGGTACGGTGCCCGCCGAGGGCAGAGGCTTGTTGGGGAAGTGGCCTGCAGGGACAGGAGGCGTTGGGGCCTTGCCTGAGTCCCCACTGTGACCACACCCTCCAACGACAGCGTCTCTGACATTCGCTGGGACCCCTGGGGATACGGTGACCAGTTGCCGCCCACACACAAAGTGCCAGGTCCCTGGGGTGGGGGTGCTTACATTCATGCTGCTCCAATGGTGGGTGGGAATGGCGAACCGCCACCAGGATGAAGAAGAGAAAGAGAGGCCACAGCAATTCCACCAAAAGCTGAACCTGAGAGGGGCAAACGTTGGTTGGGGGGCGTTGAGGGACAGTTGGGGGGATGGCGGGGTCCCAGGAGACACGCCCAGACCCACCCAACTGTGCATTACCGGCTGTCTCCGGCGATACAGGAAATTCTTCCAAAGCAGCAGCATTAGCTGCGTCCAGAAGGCCATGGTGGGAACGGCCGGCAGACAGGATGAAGGGGTCAGGCTGAGGACCTGCTGTGTGGCTGCGGGCAACTCCCTGTCCCTCTCTGAACCTCATTCCTCTATCCCATTGCGCAGGATTCCTGGAAGCTTTGCTAGGAGCCAGGCAAACAGTAAGCTCTTATTAAAGGGACTCCCCTCTTCCTGCAGGGTTGGAGTGAGCCAATGGGAGCCTTGCCCGAAGCTGTCCTCGCTTCTGATTGGTTGCCAGGGCTGTCGCTTCCTATGCGGGGGTCCGAAAGGCTCCCGGTTAATTCCCCAGGGGGCGGAGCCTCGGCTTGACTCCTTCATCACCGGGCCCCACCCTAACCCCACTTTAGGACCTCCGGGTGCCGACCCCCAGCCTCATCCCTAACCGGGGAAGGATCCCCTACACCCGCCCTTCCCAGTTTCCCAGTGATAACAGCAAAGTTCACTGCGCTGAGCCTTCTACACGCCTGGCTGAGGGGCCAGCTCGCGCCCCAGACAGAGCGGCAGAGTCGCCCGGCTGGGGACAGGCCCCTCTCTGCCCACCCGTCCTGTATTATCGCCGACAAGAGGGGCCTGAAAATGAGTAAGGGGAAGGGGCGGTGATGGGGGCTCCCGGGACCAGCGATTCCTGATCCCGTCCCTCGCTTGGAACAGTTCTGTTCTAGCCTCCGTCGTTACTGTACGGATGGGGAAACTCAAGCCGCCCGAAAGGCAGGGAGTTGTCTCAGGTCACAGACGAAGCGGAAACCGGTACCCAGAACCCCCCGACTCAAGGCCCGTCCTTCAATCATGTGGGACCTTGGGGAGCGGCCTTAGTTTCTCCATTTGCACAGTGGGACGGACGGAGCTCTAACCGGGAGAGGGGCTGCAGGTGCACGCCAGCAATCTCCGCTCAGGTGAGTCTGACACCCAGTCTCCCCCTTCAGAATGAGCGGCCAGTTCTGCAGCCACCCACACTCACCTCTGCAGGGAGTGAAGGTGAGAGTCTGGGCCCGGCCCGCACCCCCTAACTTCCAGGGAACCCGAATCCCTCCCACCCTCCCCAGCCCTGCGTCCTCGAGTCTCGGGTCCCTCCCCTCCCTCTCAGCAGCTTCCCCCAGTGCGACGGCGGCCTGGAGCGCGACGCCTTTAAAAGGGGACCCCAGAGCCGGCTTGATACCCCTCCAGACATCCCCACCTTGTATCCGGAACCGGGACCACGCCCAACTCCGCTCGGACACTGTCATTGGCCGCCGTACCCGCCACTCAATGGCCGGGCCAGCCGGGACCGCGCGCGCCAGGGGAGGAGGCGGGGCCGCGCCGGGTCTCTTAAAGAGGAGGCTCTCCTGCTGCATCACTGCGAGGCCTTCCGGGCGCACCCCAAGCGGGCCGGCGTCCAAACGCGGGAGCTGGGCTGCCTCCCTTCGTTACAAAGCCTCCCGCAGTACCGCAGCTGCAGATGGCCCGTCTTTCTCACTCCCCTGGGGGACCCGGGTCCTAGCAGATTCGTTCTGTGACCTGGGACCCCATTTATCCACCCGAAGAATGGAGTTTCATTCATTCATCTATTCCACAAACATTGCTTTGTCCCTGCAGAGGGCCAGGCGATGGCAGTACGGGGAGGGACCCCAACATTCCAAGATTAGAGCCCTGGGTCCTGATGGCCACCCCTATTTTGAGGAAAACCTCCAGACCTGCTTCCCATGCCAGAAAATTGGGTGTCACAGGATGGTGGCGAAGATGCAGACTGATCCGCAGAGCCGAGGGCGCAGGGAAGAGCGCACCGGCGGGGAGGACTCGGAGGAAGGAGGTGGTTTCGGTGTTGGGGGCTTTTGAGTATGAGTAGGAGTTTGCCAGGTAGAGACCTCCAGGCTGGGAGGCCTCAAGTGGAAGATGGAGCTGCCTGTCCGAGCTGGTGGAGGAAGTGAAGGCCCCACCCCCTTTCTAAACAGCACCCCGACCTCCTCCCCTACCTCAGGTCCCAGCCTCACACCATTTCTTCAGTTCACGCTCACCCTCGCTCTGGGCCTCGGCTGCTCCCTCTCCCCAGGCAGCTGAGAGGACCAAAGGGCCCTACTGCCCCACCCGCCAGGTCTTCTGAGGCCAGCTATCCCAACACTTTATTTCCTAAAAAGAGGTTTTTATTGTCTTTGGTCCACAAACAGTATTTCACATTATCTCTTGGTCCCAAGACTCCTGGGTGGAGGCTGGTCCCCAGGAGGGCCTCCAGGGGAGGGTCCCTGTGGATGGGGAGTGGGGGTATAAGCACAGGGCAGGGGATTGGCTTTGCCTCACCCACTTAGAATCTCACTTTCTTGTTTGGGCCTCAGTTTCCCAATTGGCCCCTGGGGGTTGGGGGGCACAATTGGCAATCTGAGGGTGCTAGGGAGATCCAGGCCCTCCACAAGGCCTGACTTCAGGGCTGTGGCGTGACCCCCTCAGGAGACCCACTTCCTTCCCAGCATCCTCTTCCACCATCCCCCAACCTTTCCCCTGAAAGAAAAACATTATTTTTCTTTCGTTAAAACTGCCTGAAACTGCTCTGGGTACAGAAACCACACAATGATCAGCAGAGAAAAAGGAAGAGGAGGAGAAGCAGCCGGAAACCGTTCGGGGCCCAGTTCCCCTGCCTGCCCGGGTTCCTTCTGCCTGTCACAGCTCGGCCCAAAGCCTGCCAGGAAATCTGCTGCCTGGACACACGCTGGCAGAGACCCCCCCTCTTGCCAAGTGCATCTGGATATGGCCTTCACCCCTTCCCCGCAGACCCTCGGGGGGCAGCACTCAGACATGTAGAAAAAACAAGAGGAAAACACAGAAAAACCCAAAAACCCAGACAGGATGATGATGTGGGGAAGGCATCAGTAGCCTGCCTCTTCCTGGTAGTACGGGGTGTATTCCGGGGCCTCCCCTGGGTCTGAGCAGTCGCCGGCAGCCTCCGGGGCCCCATCGGACACTGGGCCTTGTGGGCAGTACTTGGGGTCATATATCTGCCGGCCCAAGCCAAAGACCTGGCCGCTCTGGTTAGCACCCTGCGTGTAGCCCATCTGCAGGGACATGGAGGAGTTGTCACACTTGTCGGTCCCCAGCTTGGTGTCATAGATGTGCCTCCGGGTCCCAGGAGCCGTCATGCCCACCTGGAGAAGGGGATACCATCAAGGTGGAAAGAAGAGTGGGGAAACATGGACCCCAAGAGGGGCAATCCCCCCCAGATTCCCACACCATTTCCCATCTGTGTCTTTCCACTTGTACGAATTCCTATAGGTCCTTCCAAGCCCTGCTCGGACACCCTCTCTCTTCTGACCATGCTGAGCTGATCTCCATTACCAGTGACCCTCTCCCTTGGAACAAGGGATGTCTGGGTCCAGCTCTGCCTGCCAGCCAGGAAGCACCCCAGGCTGGGGCCCAGGCTAAGGCCTTTGGAGAGCCTGAATGCCCCGAACGGTCGCACTGGTATGTGCAACGCAGCAGGGAAAGTGAGGACCTCCAGATCTAAAAATACCAGAGCTGTGTGGGCCTCTGGGCAATCCTTTGCGGGAAACTGAGGTGCAGGGCAGGGCAGTCACTCCCCCGAGGTGACCATTGCATTGAGGCGAGACTGAGAAGGCAGAGTGGTAGGATTCTCAGCGGGAGGCACGCAGGGACAGGGTTTGGTGGGGCAGAGGAACGGTGGGGCTACCTGGCTGGCACACTTGTTGGTGCCCATCTGGAGGCTGATGGTGGAGTGGTCCATGGGTGGCAGGATGTGGTTCTTGGGGTCGTACAGGTGCCTTCTGGTGCCGTAAGCCGTCATGCCCGACTGGCTGGCACACTTGTTGGTGCCCATCTGCAGGGAGGCCAGCGGCAGGGGTCAGGCTGTCCCCCCAAGGCCTCTAGACCCCACCCTGAACTCGAGGGACCACCGGGCTGGGAGGGGCCTGGCGCCCACCTGGAGCCCAATGACACACTGGCCCGCCTTCATGGTGGCGTCATCGAAATTCCGCTCCTGCTTCTCCGAGTACTTGACTCCGATGTCCACGCTGCTCTGCAGCCCCTTTGTCTTGGCCTGGAGGGGAGGGGGCCTGGGTGTATCAGTGAGCGGCAGCCGAGACCCCTGTCCCCTCCACCTGCAACACAACCCCTCAGGTGTCTCGGTTCAACAGGCCCTGATGGCTCCCAGCCTTCCAGTTGTTCAGGCGAAGAATTAGGGGGGGCTGTTCTCACCACCATGCCCCCCACCTTCCAGCACTTCCTTTTCCCCAGTCCCCCAGTCATCCGTCCAGACCACAGCCACCATCTCTCGCCTGGATGCCTGCCCCCTGCTTCCACTCTCCATGGGGCAGCCACGGGGGGTGGGGGTGGGGGTGGGTGGCCCCAAAACACAATTCCGAACAAAGTTCCCTGAAGTGAAAACCCCCTCCTGAAACATGGCCAACCCACCCTGGTCTGAATTAAAGGGTCACTAGATCCAACACATCAGCCTAATTCTTGTTTGAGGTGTATCTCACAGCTTACAACTTACAATTTATAAAATGGGATCTGAAGGGTAAACCCTAAAAGCAAGCTCTGGCTCTGGGTGAGAATGACAGGTCCACGGAGGTTCATTCATTGAAATAAATGTCCCCTCCAGGGTGAGATGTCCATAGTCAGAGAAGTCGTGCGATAGCTGGGGGCAGGGAGCACATGGGAAACCTCAGTACCTTCCTCTCAAGTTTGCTGTGAACTAAAACTGCTCTAAAATATAAAAAAAAAATTTTTTTAATGAAAATGTGTTCAATGACTGCTTTCTCTGTCAGACTGTGAGCCCATAAAGGGGTGGACTGTGTCTGTCTTGTTCACCGGGCATGCTACGGGTGCTCAGAAATGCTTGCAAAGCAGTCTGTAAGTCTGCAGCAACCTTGCTGTGTGGCAGTGGGCAGATGGCTGCCTCTCTCTGGGCCTCACCTTTCCCGCCAGGGCAAGAAGAGACACCTGCACCTGGGTCATGTTGCCACTCTCAAACAGGTCGTTGGCTTCAAACAGGTCCACAGGGTTCATGCCGTAGCTGACCATGGCCTTGATGAAGTTGGAGAGGTTTTCTAGCTGGGAGGGGGCAGGAGAAGACGGCGGGGGGGGGGACTTCAGTCCGCCCGCCTCCAGAGAGCGTCCTCGGCCCCACCCTTGTCCACCCTGCCAGTCCCTCACCTGGTGCCAATTCTGCATGGACCGGTTGATCTTGGGGACTGAGCCCGGCTTCAGCTTATTCATGAGTCTATAGGGGACACACGGGTTGGGGGTGGCAGGGACCTCCATTAGTAGAGGGGAGCCTCAGAGACCCACTCTAATCTTGGCCACACTTTCCCCTCTTGCAATAGAATCTTCACCCATAAAAAAGATGCCAGAGTGACAACAACCAGTGCCGGGAGTATAACCCAGAAACACAGATTCTGAGAGTGAGCCTGGGAATTTCCACGAACATTTTTAATGTGCAAACAACAGAATGTTTGAACTACAGTTGAAAAGGACGCAGCAAAGTCAGGCCTCCGGAAGCTCAGAGGCTCTCACACGAAACGGAGAATGTGAGACAAGGATGCTCACTGCTGGTGATGGTAGACAAAGCGGTAACACAAGAAAAAGAAACAAAAGCAAGCAAGAGCCGAGGCTCGTTAAGGGAGAAGCACACTTCTAATGGTGTGTGGAGCGCGGCCTCATCGTGCAGAGCAACGAGGACAATGGGCCTGTGTCAACACGCACACTCACGTGCACAAGATAATTCCATCCTTCAAGCCCTTCTGGAAGTCGGGGCCGATGGAGAGGCCCGTGAGTCCCTCGATCCAGCCGCGGAGTTCTTCCTCCTTCTGAGGGTCATATTTGGACAGGAGCTGGAGGAGCAGAGGGCACAGGGTAGGGGTAAGTACACACCTAGCAGCAGCCTCCTGAAGCCCCTGGCAGGGCAGGGCCAGTGGCTCCAAGGTCAGAAAAGACTGAGGGTCCTGGAGGTCCCCACACCACCAGAGCCCACTCTCCCCTTTCCCATCAGCAGCAGGGACACTCACAGGCACAGACAGACACCCCACCACAGAGACTGCTCAGCTCAGTCTACTTCTAATGACGCCAAACCCCAGACGGCAGCCAACCCACCCCGCAAACCTGCCCCATGCCATCACCTCCTGGCTGTCCCTGCATTAGAGGTACTAAGCCTTCTCTGTTGCTGTTTTTAAATTGTGATGAGACAGACGACATTTCAACCATTTTAAAGCCCACAATCCTGCACTGACAACATTGTACAGCCATCACCTCTAAGTTTCAGAACATTTGCATGACCCCAAAAGGAAGCCCCATTCCCAGCCCCTGGTGCCCTTGAATCCCCTTTCTGTCTGGCTGTGCCTGTTCTGAGTGAGTCACAGAAATGGAGTCACACCCTGTGTGGCCCTGTTTTCCTTCTAGCCTTTACCCCCACTTTCTGTCACTCGATGTACCTCCTTGCTTGTGGCCCAGCACCCCCTGGCTTTGCCAACCAGCTCGGCGCTGGCTCTGCTGTTGATGGTGGTAGGATGAAGATGCTCAGGGCCCCCCACTGGCGCACAGCCACTGCCTTTGAGCGCGTGCACACACACACACACACCACACACACACCCTGTTCCCTGTGGCAGCAACTCAGAGCACCATGGGTCAAGGAATGGGGCCCAGGGACGCCCCCGGAGGTCAGGAGATCCAGGCTGGTGTGTGGGCAGACAAGGTCAGCCCCAAGTGGCCCCCTGGCCGGGGGTGGGGGGTTGTCCAGCCCATTCCTCACCAGACTGTTCCGCTTGGTGGATCTGCTGCTCCAGACCCCCTGTGCACCTGTGCCGGCACAGACCACACCCTGGAAGCCCTTTCTCACCCACCCCCAACAGGGGACTGGCCCCCAGAGCTGTCCTTGATAGACCCGGTCCCTACTCTCAGCTCTGCCCCCAGCCCGCTTCCCGTGACTGCGGGCAGTTCGTTCTCCCGTGCCTTAGCTTACCCATCTACATCTGGAATCGTTTGCATAAGGGTCTCCCACACTGGGCCCCTGCTTCCCCATTCCTGCACTTAAGCCCCGAGATAGGGGATCAGGGCTGAGCCTCTGGAGCGCAGGGGAGACAAAGGCAGGGAGGCTGGCCTGCTAACCCGATCCACCCGGGCCACCCCCTCAGCCTCCCATGGCCTCCCAGTTCCCACAGCCCTGGGGAGCCGCCCTGTGCAATGAGAATGGGGTGGGGGGCGTGTCCCGACACACCTGTCCAGCTGGGCCCCATTCCTGAGGGCTCTCAGGGCCAGGGCGGAGGGAGCCGGCCAGGGTCCTGGGCAGAGGGTGCCGGCCGGGCCCCACCCGCAGCTGCGTTCCTCCCCCGAAGCCCAGCTGGCCTTCAGCACATTCCTGTTCACCGCAAACCGTCAGGAATGCAGCCACCGCCTCCCTGCTAAATCGGGACCAGCTGTTCCCCGTGGTCTAGACCCCCCAGCCGGCTGTGAGCGGAGCAGCCGCTGCTCCGAGGCAAACTGGACACCAGCCTGCCCCTGCGCCGTCCCCCTGGGGGCGAACTGAGCACCGGGGGGTCCAGGCAGGAAGGTCTCCAGGTGTCCCTCCTCTTAGGCAGCTGGTTAAGTGGACAGGCTGTGGGCTTGAAGCCAGAGGAAGCTGGTTTCCAGTTCAGGTGTGGCCCCTGAGGGACCTTGGCAAGCTGGTGGGGCCCCGCCCACTCTCCAGACCTGCAACTGAGGGCTGGTTTCGGGGAGCCCTCTGACTTCATCCCTGAAGAACAGGTGTCAACCTGCTCTCCTGCCACTCCATCTCTGGACACACCCTCCCGCCAGCCCTGCTGGGGTGCCACACCCTCACCCACTTCCTAGGCCCCAGGGAGGTGCTGGAACTGCCCCTGAGGACCTGTGGCCACCAGGCACTGGACGGAGCACGTCTGGGGACCAGTCCTAACTCTGCCACTCCAAGGCTGTGCGGCCCAGGGCATCTCAAACTGTGTCTCTGAGCCCCGTGTGCAAACCGGGGCTCACAGGCAGGGCGGCATGCTGCAAGGTTCCCAGGTGGCATGCAAACGGTCAGCTCATGGGATGACTGCGCGGATGGGTGGGACCTGGGGATAGTGCGTTACGGGGGTCCGGAGCTTGCCCAGTGACCACGCTCCGTCCCTTAGATCCTCACGCCTTGGCCTCCCCTTCCATCAAACAGGCCGGAGGGAGGCTCCACGGAGCTCCTGGGAGGCCATGCACAAATTCCTCAGTCAGAGGGGGCAGATGCCTGTTGGGGGCTGGAAGGGCTGTGCCCTCTGTGTGCCCAGGCAGGCCCCCTGTGGCCACTGACTGTGGGACCACATTTCCAGGTGCTTGGTGGGAAGGTGCTGGGGGTAGGCAGGGACGACGAAGCCCCCTCCCACCGGGAGGGCCTTGA